GAGAAATGTTGACACTTTTTCATGCTATTCTTTGACTTGTCTTCTCTTACCTGTTGTACTCACAAGGCACAACAAAAATAAAGAATTATAAAAAAAAAGAATAACAATAGCATGCCTTCAAAATAACATAAACATCTTGACTCGTTAAGCTTCTTTACCTGTTTATTGCACTAAACACCATTCTTACATGATGAATTAAAGCTTTCATGGGCTATTGTTGCCTTTAACAAATAGAACATAAATAAAAACGTAAACATGTAGGAAGAGTATAATACATTTTAGTGCCTATTATTTGAGTCTATACTAAATCCACAAAGTAGGAGAACTTAGCTGATGTGACTGACTGCAGTCAGGACTAATCTAATGAGAAATCACATTTGAGAATACTCAGGCTGTGCTATTCTTGGTGTTTACCCATATTAGCAAAAAAAAAGAGGTGACGCCATGTTACAAAACACAGCCTTTTTATTGTAATCATACACATATGTAATTATATATGTTTAAAGATAGCAAGTTGTGTTGTTCCCAATGTGGTTCGGCCTTGTAGTGTGACACTTGCCGCAACATGTGCATGGCATTCAATTTTCCATCCTTTTAAAACTTTTTTTCTGGAAAGTTGATACTAATATCGACATATTTCTCTGTGTTATTACTCATTATATTTCATGAAGTTGCACCGATGTCATCAACCTTCATTGCACAGTACCTGATAATTCAGTTCTCTATCTCTTGCAGACATGCTAGAACCGTGATAGGTGTCTGCATAACAGTGCACAGGAATAAATCGTTAGCTGAAACGCCACCAAATTGGGAATAAAAACTGTTTCAAATCCATGATACCCTCACCATTCTGACAGTGACCGGATTTAAGTCGGTCAATCGGTAATAAATACAAAAAAAATCTAATGTGGTAAATTTTCACTCATATTCTCTTCCATGTGTGTCAGCTGGAATATGATTCTGTGTTGTTTTTTTTTTTTTTTTTATTTCCCCTGCTCCGTACATGACAGTGAACAAGGCTGCAAGGTTGCATTAACGAACATTAGGTCCCTGAAGTACTTCCCAGCAGTTCCCAGAAAGAGACATTTAGCTGTTGTGTTTTCATGTAGGGAAATATAACAACTGAAAGATGAAGTTATATGTTGTAAAGCTATCTCTCAAGTAAATAAGCATTATACGTTCATTTATACTATTTAAATAAGCTCTATACTCAATAACAGAACGATTTAATAACAGTATGAGACTGTGTACCCTTTAATCAGCAGCCCCACTTATTATCTGAACTGGGGGCCTGCCAAAAGAAGGAAAGATTTGCACTCAACAGGTAAACACTAGACTTTTATTTTTCAATGAAGGTTAAGTCTCCTGTTCATCACTGTTGAGGATCAGTCGTCATTCCGTTTGCCTTTCACACTAATGCAGCTATTCCTACACTCATACGTATGATCCATAAGGTCTGGAAAAACTCCCAGGAGTCAAATGTATTTACTGCTGTCTTCTGTATCATTAAGGATATTATATAGGACTCTAGGATCGTGTGCCATCCATAGAGAGAGTTGCCACCTTGGCCATGTTTTCCCAGATAGCTAAAAATTCCACATGCTGTTGGTATGTACATGAGTAGTGCTCGTCAGCAATATGCATAGCTATCAATTTCTAAAGGGAAAATCAGTTCCAAAGGGATTTCAACTAAGATTAAATTAATTTCTACATCTGAATTCTACATATTAGCTAAGGCCCACAATAATTTTTCAAAACCTACCATGGACATCATGGACCAAATGGTCTTTAACCAATCATATACACCTCATCAGGGGAGGATTATGCAAAAAAAGGGCTTTAGCAGCACACACATAAAGTATGCACAATGCAATAACAAGATGCCTCACAATACCTGTTTTAGTCTTATTCATATCCTTAACTAAACTAGCCAGCATACAAGCCATAGAGGACTGCAGTTAAGATAGATTGTTTCTCCAGAATGCGTGAATAAAACCTACCAAATGCCTCCTTTTCTCTTTCTTAATAAACAATTTCTGTCTTGGTTATGACTGGGCTGAGACTTCCATCAGAACATTATGGTTTTTGAAATTTGTCAGAAAAACGGGCCTGCCCCGATGAAATCAGAATGGTTGGAATGCATGCCTTTGGTATCCCACTCTTTGCTAAATGCAAGTATTACAACCCATTAAAACTGACGTCTCAAACTCCAGACCCTAGATCAGGGATAGGCAACCTGCGGCACTCCAGATGTTGTGAACTACATCCCCCACAATGCTCTTATACCCATAATGTTGGCAAAGCCTCATGGGAGGTGTAGTCCAAAACATCTGGAGTGCCAAAGGTTGCCTATGCCTGCCCTAGATGCTGCTGAAGAACAACTCTCATGATTCCCTGGGCATCTATTGCATTCCGTTCATCTATTGCATTCTCTGAAACTTGTAGGCCATCAACGTCTACTGGACCAGAACTTGAGATCCCTACATCAGACCTTACATATTTCATATCAACAAATCTCTGTGCTGTAATACTGGACTAAATCACAATTTCACCAAATATTTAGAAACGTGGAAAAAAGTAACTTTTCATGGTAGGTTCTGTTTAATATCCCATGGCGGATTCTCTTTTATTACACTTTGCTAAGCTTGCAGCATTTTTGTGAAGTCCATTTATTTTTTCTTTGCATTTTTTTTTGTGCACTTGGTATTTTTTTAAACCTAAGGTGCTATAGCAATATTTCACTGTCCCTGCTTAACCTATTCAGGTGACAATCCTACAGCAGAAAAGCACTGCGTGTCAGGGGAAATTAAAGGAAAATAAATAGTCTTATTTACATTTCAAGTAAGAGTTTGCATTTTTTGTGAATGCTCATCCTCCAGGGAGAGCCTGATTGGAAAGCAGAAGCCATCAAACCTACACGCACAATTGAACTGATGGATATAACACATTTTTGATGGAATATTTATTGAAACCATATTTTGCAGTCAGCTTCCTGGCAAATAGCCATGAGCATGTTTCCCATCTCTGACAGGGAGACCAATAAATAGCTTTCCTCAACCTAAAATTAATTTTGAACTGTGTTTACCGCATTTCTTAAGCAACTGCATGAATCAAAGTAAAGGATTTTATTCACTGAATGTATCGTGGTGACTTGACAGATTTGAAACATTTTGACTTAAATTTCTATTAGCAGATCCAAAATGGAACCTTACATGAAACATAGGCTTAGTACAATCTTACTGATAAATGACAACCAGAAGATTGTACTAAGCCTATGTTCAAGGCCAGCAGCTGATCACTTTCAGCCAGAGCTAAACTTTGCACGGCTAGGTTTAGCGCAATGCAAAGAGCTTCTAATACTCATAAAGGGGTTGACTGTTGCCCGTTGAACCCTAGGTAAGTTGTACATTGGGGGTGGGGGGCACTCTTGGCACCATAACCACTAAAGCAGGCAGTAGAGGTTATTGTGCTCGGAGTGTTTATTTAGCATCACCCAATGCTACCTGTTGGGAAAGGGTTGGACCTAGAGACCTGCCCATCAGTTGTTAGACTCCAGCGTTTACAGCTATTATTTTCTCTGTTAAGATTGGAATTGGAGTGTAGATGATTAGAATAATGTAAACATGCTCAGATTATTATAAAAAAGTTAGCATAGCATTTTCTAGTTAAGCATTTGTCTCTATGGATTCCAAGCAAATCTGAATGTTTTTTACTGGCAGGATCCCTTCTCTGTTTCCATAGCAAAGCAGACTTGGTTCATAGATAGAGGGATGCAATGTATCCCAAAAAGTACCAGTAACATGTTTACCAAGATTTATTATTATTTATATAGCATTTATATAGCACCAGTATATTTTACAGAACTTTACAACAGTTTACAAATAGCCATTGTTTCTACAAAGTAAGCAAAATTAATTTTTGTGCAATAAAATTGGCACTTTAACGAAAAGGTCTGTTTTAAGCATTTAAAGACTTACTATAAATCATAGAGGTGTAGGCCTAAAAACGGTGGTTTCTAACACAGTCCCCATGGCTTGAAATGGTCCAGGGTTTATCATTATACCTTCTGGAACAGAAAAAGGGAATTACAAAATCCAACACAAGAACTGGTCTAGGAAACATTGCTGTAACTTGTGAGATGTTGAGATGCCTTAAGGTTCTTTGTACTAAAACCTTTAACGTCTGCCTCACTTTTGTATATATAGACTCTGTAGAATATCATAGAGGACTGGAAAGGTTTCTCTTATTGAGAGAAATTCTACCATAGTCACATTTTAGTATATACCCCAGACTGCCTGTCAGAGGATTAAAGACAGTAATCTTTAAAGAATTTTCCACATTTATAGGCACTTAGAGATAATATTCTCCTTCACATTTCTAATTTCTTAGCTTTGGCTCATTTCCAGTAATAACAGATTAAGTGGCAGAGCACATCTTCAGAGTCTCTCTCTCTAGAAATGACATTATTGGTAAAGTAAAGAGTGCAAAGTGCTAGGAAATAACAAATAAAATAACAGTTCTTATAAAGTTACCATGGAGTAATGGGATATGTGTGTGTCACTGAAATGTAAAAACAAAGGAAAACAGAAGGAAAGAAGCAATTAATTCAGATGTATAACTTGGTTGCTTGTTACTAAAACTGAAATATACCAATGTGCAAAAACATCACAATATCCAGAGAAATATATACAAGAGACATTCAGTATATTCTATTTTTGAGGAACACCAGTTGGTATCCATAGTCTGTCTTTTTTTAATTTGTTCTGTATTTCTAATCCTTTTTCCTAAAGACTTCACGCAAATCATTGGTGATGTTACTGAATGAAGATTTGAATACAGGTACCGATATGTGAATATATTGAGCTACAGCGCCTTTCATCTCAACCAAGACATTGATTTTAAATTGGATATTAAAATTTTAATTATGGCAGTACTGTAACTGTACCATGCTGCAGGAGGTAAGGGATACATTATTTATCTGTAATAACATTCTTGCTGTCTTACTGAGAACGTCCTTGTCTTGAGAAAGTGCCCGTTCTGCTAATCTGCCGAGACCTGGCACTGGCTCTTTGTTGCCTTCCGTTTCTGCCCCCTTCTCTGGCGACACTTGAAGCTGCCAGCCCATTTCCGCCAAAAACACTCTGTTGTGTTAGATCCTTTTCCAGACAGTTGAAAGTAAGAGCCACTCCCAAATTACTCTTCATTACCCTAGAAGAGCCATCGGATGTTCCATCAAAACACCTACCCAGAGCTATCTCCTTAGCTGTTCTAGGATCTTGGTCGGTAACTGTGTAGATACCGTAGTTATGTCCAAGTGGGTCAAGAGGAGCCAGCATAGTGTACTCATTCGTATCGTTATTGACTGCCATTGGCAGATGGTTGATTAAGTATTCGTGCAGCATGCTGTTTATATTTTCTCTTCTGCAGCTTCCTTGGGGTACAATCTTTACTAGTGTTCGATCCACTCTGTCCTGGTCATACAACATGCCACTACATTTGAATTCTACACACGCTGTGGATAGGTTAGACTCCTCCTGGTCTCTAGTACTCCGTACATCTCGAATACCATATAGCTGGCCTGTTGTTTGTGGGTGGGTACCCCCCATGTTTCGGGATCTCACGATCAGCTCTTGAGGACCAACAATTTTAACTTTCATATAACAAGCACGGTACTCCATTGGTTTGGGCCACCAAGCTAAATAGTCAGCTGTCCAACCCATAGGGTCATCCTCATTGAAAGCCACAGTGTTAAAATCATACCTATCTCCTTCTACCCTATAAAACCTAAAATGAGCAGAATTGTATGGTGCCTCTTCACACTCACGAAGTTTGTCATAGGCATAGACAGGGCCATTGCTTTCTTCAGCGGCATTGGGGTTTGGCTTAGCTACATTAATGCTAAAAGCTGTCTTCTTGATTTTGGGATCATCATGATCTGTTCTTCTGTAGTTTAATTTGTTTAGGTAGGGCTGAGGAACACCAATTATGTTTGGGTTGAATTTAGGAGAAGATTCCACTGCTTCCAGTTCTTCTCCTCCTAAAGTGGCCGTTACAAATGCTGAATAGGCATCTGGGCTCTTGTCATCACAAAATGCTGGCAGACAGGCTCCATTAGAACCAGTTATCGCACTGTCAAAACGACCCCAGGCTCTTGGATTAGAAGAGAACCCTGACATTGGCTCCATATTAATCAGGTTCACGACAACACCTTCAACTTGTTCACTTGGCAAAAACCTTTCACTTCTGAAAACTCGGACCTTCACATAACATCTCCTGCTTTCAGGTACATCTAAATTAAACAGTCTTCTTTCTCTAATTTCCATATTGCCAACAAGAAAGGTTCTCTCCTCTCTTTTTCCACGTCGAACTGCTTGTCTCAAAAAGTCACCCTCTTCCTCCCAAAGCCCAGTTTCTGGATTCAAAGACCACAATTTCATTTTCTCAAGGTGTTCAGACATCTTTACTTGTGCAGAATCAAGATAGACTTTAACAGCTCCTGCATTTAGGCTTTCCTTGGCTTCTTCATCTGTAAAGTCCACAGAAAACATTCCATAGGAGCGCAGTGGCATAGTATCTCCTTCATCATTGACAAAATTTAGGTCACTTTGTGCAGCAGTAGCTGTTGATATGTTTCGTGGGTCCAAAAATGTAACACTTGCCTTCACTTTACCACTATACTCTTCCCCATTTTGCCGATAGAAAGAATTTGGGGGGATTTCCAGCTCAGCTATAGGATCCTCATTTTCTACGTCTCCCAAAGATATTTGGTTTGTCTTCTTGGAGTCCAGTATCACTGGTTTCTTCTTTCTAAGGAGATGTACTTCATGAAAGACAGCACCCCCCTTTTTGTTAAATGGAAGTATTTTGGTGGTGTTCACAAACTTCTGAAGCCGGTCAACAAAAGTAAGGACAAGCCTTTCCGTTTCTGCAGGAACATGAATAGAGAAAGTCCCCTTATAACCAGTGATGCTAACTCTGGAATTTCCCATGTAGATATGCCCAAAACGCATTGGCTCCCCAGTATCAGCTGCAATTGCTCTCCCACGGACAATTATTCTACTCTCTGTACACTTTTGGCAACCACATTGTACAGCCACCTTAATAGGAAGTGTATAACCCTGACAAGTTATCACTTTGACCTCTGTTTTTGTGATTCCACAGCAATAGGGCACTGCGTCTTTACACCGTAATCCATTGTCCAGATCCCCAGGGCAACCACTGGCAGGGCACTTTCCCACATTATAGTATAAGGAATTTGTGGCATCTTGAAAGCAGTCATGAGGGAGTCGGATAAGATGTTCTTCGGGTTTTGGTTTGCAGGACAGAGCTTGTTCAGCTGCAGATAAATTATTAATATGAGAATATGTTAATGTGGTTGAACTGAAATAATGATTGCATACATGAATTAGAGAGTATAAATACAACACCCTTGAGTACCTTTACTTAGATGTTTTGCATCATAGTAGTAGCATCATAAGCAGTCTATTGATTTCCAACAACAAATCTGATTTAGCCAGGAGGACTCCAGACCAGCATTCAAAAATTTAGATAACGGTTTGACTACTCACTTGTGGGGGTGGGGGATTACTAGAGCACTTGTGGCACCATAACCACTATAGTAGCTGGATTACCCATAAGACATCATAGGCAAGCCTGGACCTCTGTCTCTGTCTTTGACAGGGATTACCTCGACCATGCAGCTCCTGACTACCTCAAGGTAGTCTGGTGGGGAACCGTTGGTCGGTACCTCAGGTGAAGATCACTTTAAGAGCTCCCTCTCAGTCCCGGCACTTCTCATCAGGACTAGCAGGGAGCTATTAAAGTGAGCTTCACCTGATAGAGGGGCTAAGTAATGGTCCCCATCCAAACTACAATGGATTTCCCTACCCAGTGTGGTCTGCACTGGACCACCAAGGATTACTTACCAATAGGTAAGTAGGAGGGGTGCAAATGGAAAAAAATGGGAAAAGATGTGTGTGGAAGTTTTCCACATCAAAAACAACTGGCATAATGTTTGCAGTGTTCAAAAGATTTTAACTCATAACGAAACATAAGCTACTGAATGTAGATGCCTAATTAACTTGTCAATGCTCTGTAAACATTTAAAGGGATTCTATAGTATTAGCCCTCTGGTCTCCCCCTCCCTTGCAGACCCCCCCCTCTAGCACAGAACGGGTTTAATTCCAGCACCAATGTCTTTCAGGCCTGTTTGGGGCACCGTCTCTTCCCAATGTCATCTGAAGGGGGGGGCCTAATGTGCATGCGCGGTGAGTGCAAGGAAAGCTTTGCCTCTATGGGGATTTCACTGATGCTGGTTGTCCTCATGCAGAGTGTACATATAGTGCCTCTTTAATTGTTTAAAAATATTTGGGTATTTTGAACTATTGTATTGTGTCATTAATGATTTGATGTGACCCAAATAAAATAAAGAATTGAAAAGTTAAAAAAACTTAATCTACTCAATTATTATCAATATTGTACATTTACTCTACTATTGTACATTTACACGTTGTTCAGCATAGCTCTGCGCATTATTCCTGCTTACCAATCAGTGTAAGTGTGGCAGCCTGGGATTTCACAAATCCTGCCTCGTTCTTGGCCTTGCAGTAATACTCTCCCGCTTGGCTTATCTGCAGTTTGCGCAAGACCAGCTGGTTACTATTTTTGCGCATGTTTTGGTTCAGCAGAGTTCCATTGTGATACCTTTACAACAAAAAGTGACAGAAGAGAGTAATAAAAATATTGAAAAACTTTTAATTCTCCATCCATTTGTAATACTGTTTCCATACCCAGAAATATGAGATGTAGACACATTAAAGCTATTATTGTGATAGTGATTGTAAATTTAATTCAGAGCATAAACTAATATAATATCACAGGCAGAGAATGTGAACCTCGGAAGGCACTTGGTTGAAAGAAGTTTGACAAAAGAGTAACTACGCCCCTCTCCCCTTACACCATAACCACAAAGCTACTTGTAGTGGTTTTGATGAAAGGATGCAAGGAGTCTCCCTTTGGCATATAAATTATTTCATTTTCATCATGAAAAATAAACATTGTGTGTAGATGGAGTTGTTAGCATGGTCAGATCCAGAGCCCAATTTCGGAAGGGACACTGTTAGATTATTTATTTGCAGGTCAACAAAAAAAAAAAAAAACAACAACACTTAAAGTAGAATGCACATTTCTGTCAGTTATTCTGTATACTGTAAGTTATTCACTTAACCCTGGATTGAATTTAAAACCGATTTATATATTAAAGGAATCCTCTGGGCACCATATCAACATCATCAGAATTAAATTGTTATGGTGCGAGAAGATCCCCGGGCAGTGACTTACCTCAAGGGATTAAACTTTTATTGAATGGTTTAACCCCAATGTGGTGCACAATCACTTTACACACAAACATCCTCCACTGTCCGAGGCTTGGATCAGGAAGCCTTGGACAGGGGCACCAAATTCAACACTTTGAGGTTAAACCATTTGTTAACAGTTTAATCCTTTGAGTTAAGCCAGCGACCGGGGACTTCCTTGCACCATAACATGGACCAAAGCTGATTTAAAGACATTCTCCAGGTGAGCTATAGTCATATATTAGCCCTAATTTTGCAATTCAGATTTATGTTTTCTAATGTTTGTAGTTTAGAGAATACTCTTATTTTGACATGGCTCAGAAATGTAATGTAATGCTAGTGTGTAAATGCAGTGAAGTAATAGGTTGGGATCAATGTATGCAGGTGTGTGTTTATGCATTATGTTTGTCTATACCGATTATTCCCTACTAGTGCACTTCACCCATCTGCCTCTTTATATCTCTCTCCACCCCCTCTATTCATTTGTACATGCCAACTGTGATCTTTTTCACATATTCCTCTCTTTCTGTCACTTATGTCTCTCTACCCATATCCTCTCATCCGACCTCGGGTCCTTCTTTCCATATCCTGTAATTGTGTCCCTCTGCCCATTTTCCAATCCAGTGTCCCTCTGTTCATATCTCCTCATCCCCCTTATGTCCCTCTGCCCATATCCTCCACTTATGACCCTCTACTCATATCTGTAATTTGTGTCTTTCTGCCCATGTACCCTAATTGTGTTCCTCTGCCCCGTCAACATTGTATGCCCCTTGGCCCATATTTACCCATTTGAGTACTTCTCTTCCTGTCCCCACCTTATGTCCCTCTGCCCTTATCCTCCCTTATGTCCATCGTCTCATGTTCCCCATTTGTGCCTTTCTACCCATGCCATGCCATGCCATATTTTTCTAGATATTATTTTTATTCCATCCAAGGGTGGACCTGGCAACATATGATAAAACTATATCAGCACAGAGAAAATAAGGCTAACGTGTACTTGACATGTTTAAAATATTGTTTGTTGGCCCAGAGTTTTGATATCCAGGGTTTCCAGTGATGATGCATCCAATACAGTAGTTAGTTTCTGTGGTGTTATCATGACTCACCAGAGATACTGTTCAATGGCTGGCTCCCCTTTAGCTTCACAACAGAATGTCACACTTTGCCCCACTCTCCTAACTTTGCTCGTGGGATTCTCCAACATGTAAGGCTTTCCTATAAAGACATTATGATAAACAAAAAAGTATATTGAAGCAAGTTTATACTAACAGAGTGATATTAAATAAGATTTGTTAGTAATAGAAAACATGTTCGGGCTCTGTTAATGATAGTATTGAAAGTATTTATTTTACAAATAAAAATGTGCATGGGCAAATGATGAATCTACCAACTTTGGCTGCCTGTGCCACAGACAAGGTCCCTGTTCAACATGACCAATAGATTATAAAAATAAAGATAAGCCTCAGTATCGTTTTTTTAAATGACAGTATTAGAACAGTACAAAGCCCACTGAAAAAATGTACTAATGCTAATACTAATCTAGATACTTTCTTTCAAAAAGGATCAAATATTTGACACAAACATAGAGAAAACTATCAGGAGTAGGCAACCTTCGGCACTCCAGACGTTGTGGACTACATCTCACATTATGCTCTTACAGCCATAATACTGGCAAAGCAAAATGTAGTCCACAACATCTGGAGTGCCGAAGGTTGCCTACCCCTGAGCTAGATAAATAATAGATATTATTAATAAGAATGAATACCTAAGGTTTGTGGTGAGCAAAAATATGAGGTCACTGAATAGATTGCATGACAGGTTCCCTATGTCACCAAAATGGTTTCTGAGCATATGTATGGAATTACCTATCTTTCTATCATTGCTAAGCTAAATTACTTTAGATAGAGGAGCTATATAAGAATTGTTAAATACATGTATCACACATTTTTATGACATTCTTTGACTCCATTATAATATGAGTTTTCCAGTAATTTTACCTTTTCTCTTAAAAGAGACTTGAATGGATGATGTACCGTTACTCTGAGGAACTTTTACATGGACGACCGCATACTTTTCTAATTTTAACTGCAATACATTGTAAGGACAGACTTTTGACACTTGGAACTGTCCGTGGGCATCTGATACTGCTTCAAATTTAGGTTTCTTCCCCATGACGTAGACGTTGACTCCGGCAGCAGGTGCGCCATCAGGAAGGGTGACGGTGCCATATAGAATGTGATTCTTGCACTCACAAACATTGCAGTCTGCACTCACTTGGCCTACAGAACAGCTGATATCGCAGGCTGAAGAGAGGAGATACAAAATGTCAACTGTAGATAAACTGTACCATATGGCATTCAATGATATATCTTTACAATATCCCCATGAACTTTTTGTCTGTTGTGTAAACATCATTAAACTGTTTGCTTCATCACAAAGGCCTAGGATCTAATACACGCGAAACATCCTTTACTGCCTTTCCTTTTAAAATTAATTTGCACTGAAAATACGAATGAGGCTGAGAGGGATGTTATTTCTCAAGCAATCAGGTACTTACCTATTCACCTGTACCCACGAAGGTTTAAAAGCAAATACACTAGATTTAAGATACTTGCTTTAAGAAATGTAATACTACATTACAGTAACTAGTAGACTTGTGCATATCGAAAAATTCAGTGTTTCTGACTAGTTGGATTTTTCCAATGTGGCCTTTTAATTTGGACACATTTTGTAAATACTATGTTATATTTTGCAGTACACTGATAGGAGCATTTTTACATCATTTAGTTCACAGACCAAGTGAGAAGAAGTAACCAACAGAGTTAAAAAAAAGACAGAACCTTGGAATCAATAGACCTCAATGCAAGCTGTAATGAAAAATGTATCTCGGTTCCTTAAATTAACATTGTCATCATTTTTTTATTTTTTTTTTACTATCTTAGTATAATCTTTATGCTACAACATATCAATTTCTTAGTCTTTTTTTTTTTTTACTAAATGTATATTGAGATTTCTGAAGAAACCAGCTCCCTCCTTTTCACTCTCACTCTTACTTAAAGTCATGTTGATGCACCATCAGAGGGATGAGTGATAATCTGACCCAATGCTTAATGCTCATTAGCACAAATATATTAAGATTTGAAAAAAAAATGACAACAGTGTTCCTTTAACTCTTGGCATCTTGTGTCCAATAAATTGTTATTTTAGTGTTTCTGCATACTATTTTAATTGCCCACCTATGTAATTCAGTAATGTCTGAGGTCATTCTTCCTGAACAATTCTTAGGATCTGAACAGCTAGGTTATGATACTGGTTGCTAAAAGGACTATATCAAGTGTCATAATTCACCATCATGCTACTCTGTGCTTTGATACTGCTAGGCAGGTGAAAAAAAAATGAAACAAATTGGAAATTCAAAGAAGCTTTTTAAACCTCAAACTTTCCCTTTCATTTTCTGATCTTCTATTTCAATATGTGCCAATATTTGTGTATAGTGTGGCAGACATTGGCGGATCCAGAGCCTGATCTCGGAAGGGGCACTTGTAGATTATTTAAATAAATAATCCAGATACAATAACAACTACAGCTCAGTGTAGTGGTTATGGTGTCAATAGTGCCAGGCCCCCTCCCAGAGTAAGTAGTGAAACCGTTTAAGAACAGTTTGACAACTTACCTGAGGTCTGCTGGGAAATGGGGCTGCAGTAGGGCATAGGAGCAGTGGTGTGTGTGAGTGGTGCAATGTGTAAGGGGTGCAGTGTGTTTGTGAGGGGGGCAGTGTGTGAGCAGTGTGTGTGTGTGTGTGTGTGTGTGAAGGTTGCAGTGTGTGAGTGAGGGATGCAGTATATGTCAGGGGTGCCGTGTGTGTGTGTTAGGGGGGCAGTGTGTGTGTGGGTCAGTATTTGTGTGTGACATTTGCAGTGTGTGTGTGTGTGTGTGTGAGGATTGCAGTGTATGTGGGGCAGTGTGTGTGTGTATGGGGCAGTGTGTGTGTATGGGGGTAGTGTATGTGTGTGTGGGGAGGGGGGGGGAGCAATGTGTGTGTGTGATTATAAAAAAAAATCCCCCTACCCTTCTTATCACACACATTGCCCCCCACACACATACACTTCCCACATACATACATAATTTTTTTTTTTTAAAACAACACATAAAAAAGCCCCCAAACCCTTCTTATATGTTTTTTTTATTTATTTAATTTAATTTAAATAAAATTTGTTATGTCCCCCCCTCCCTTCTTACCTTTACTGGGAGGAGGGGGGACATTTCTTAGTCCCTGGTGGTCCGGTGGGGATTCCCTGGTGGTCCCAGTGGTAGGAGTGAACTCTAGCCCGCGCTCCAGGGCTAGAGTTCACTCTCGCGAGATTTAATGCGTTGCCGTGGTAACTGCCGCAACCAGTGGTGTATCCTGGTTTTGTGCCTTACATAAAAAAGTTATCAGCAAGTGTGCCAAGCCTTTGAAGTGTCTCTGTTTGAGCTAACATTCTCTTTATATACTACAATTCACCATGACATCACAAGAATACTAGACGTTCTTCCGGGTGGAAAAGCTGAAGCGTTCTCCGATGAAAGCTGTACTGCTTATAGAATTACCAGGCAAAAACTGTAAATATAACTGAACCATCATCTCAATCTCTCAACATTACTTCCATATTGAGATAAAGAGAATTGTAAAACAACAGGTGCATATCTACAGATTAAACTAAACCCATCTACCATTAAAGGGACACTATAGTCACCAGTGCAACTACATGTATTCCTGACCCTATAGTGTTAACACCACCATCTAGCCACCATGGGCCCCTCATGCCTCCATAAATATAGTAAAAATCTTACTGTATTCAAGCCAGAAGCTGTAACTCTGCATGCGGTTTGTCTAAAAAAACACAAAACAGTCTGCTGACATCATCAGAAGTGGTGGCCTGATCCAATCAAAGTGCTTCCCCATAGGATTGGATGAGACTGACAAGGAGGCAGATCAGGGGCAGAGCCAGCATGATTCAAAGCCCTGGCCAATCAGCATCTCCTCATAGAGATGAATTGAATCAATGAATCTCTATGAGGAAAGTTCAGTATCTGCATGCAGTGGGAGGAGATACTGAATCACAGGATGCTGTGCACAGTGCTGCTCTGTGCTCTGCTGACAGCAGATCTGAGTGGATGGAGGCATGGTTGTAGGAACCGGGGGGGATGGAGGGGACGCATCCCCCCCAGCAAATCATGCGGGGCAGACTGGGAAGGGGAGCACCTCCCCCCAGGGCCGGCGCTACCTGTTAGGCGGACTAGGCAGCCGTCAGGAACGCCGTCCCCCCTCATGCAGCAGCTGTGCGAGCTCTCAGTAGAGAGCCTCAGGCGGCTGCAGCTTTGGCCGGGCTGGTGCGTCCATGAGGGCACACCGCCCGGGCGCAGCATGAGGAGAGGGGCTGACAGGAGGGAAGCGATCAACGCTCCCTCCTGTCACTCTCTCACTGTAGCATGGCCGAGCCCTGTATGGTCTGTGCGTACAGGGAGCATCTGTCTCCTGTACCCGGCTGGACTAACAGGAAGTGCGCACTGAGTGTGCACTTCCTTGTAGTCCGACCGGGTACAGGAAACAAAAGCTCCCTGTACCCGCGGACCATATAGGGCTCGGCCACGCTACAACAGAGGTAGGGGAGGGGGGAGAAAGAAATTGACGGGGAAATGACAGGGGAGAAATTGATGGGGAGAAATAAATTGGGGGAGAAATAAATTGACGGAGAGAAATAAATTGACAGGGAGGGGGGAGAAAGAAATTGACAGGGGAATAAATTGACGGGGAGAAATAAATTGACAGGGGAAATAAATTGATGGGGAATAAATTGACATTGGGGAGAAAGAAATGACAGGGAGAAAGAAATTTACGGGGAAAGAAATTGACGGGGAAGAAATTGACAGGGGAAGAAATTGATGGGGAGAAATAAATTGATGGGGAGAAATAAATTGACACGGGTGGGGGAGAAATAAATTGACAGGGAGGGGGGAGAAAAATACATAAAGTCACATTTATACATAAAACACAGACATTTCACATATCCCCAGATAGCTCAGGTCTGAGCGAACATTATTAAGTGAATGGCGCTCGGACCACACAAATACAGTTTAATCACCATGGAGCCAAAGTCTTTACAGTCAGTTTCATACGAATGGGCTCCATGGGATTCCTATCTGGGGTATAACACATTCAAACAAATCTACTGAACCCCAGGCAGAAAAGCACGAATACAGCTTTTCTGCAGGCACAAATAAAGTCTTTTAAAAGGGGGCCATAGTCCAAAGGCAGCAGGCGAGCAACCAGGCTTCTCCAATGCAATGTGGCGAGATTGGTCTCGTCACATCTCTCCCCTTTTCCAAACAGACTAATAGGGTATCTGACCTCCTGCCGGTCAGTGCCCTTGTTAGTCCAGCAGCCCACCCACAAAACATAATCAACAGCACAGCCCACCCACAATAAATGGTTACTACACCTGGGTAAAGGAGAAGCTTGTCCATGTCTAGGTGCCTCACCACGGCTGTGCTGGGTACGTGTACGCTGACTGGGTGGGTTGCTGCGTGGGCAGAGACCAGCGGCACTCTGCCCTGTTGCCAGCGCTACTGGGAGGGTAGCCTGGTTGAAGCCTGGTTGTTGGAGGGGGAGACTGACTGTCTCCCCTTTAACTACACCGCTCTGCTGCTGGAGACCGACTGTCTCCCCTTTAGTACACAGCTCTGCTGCTGGAGACCGACTGTCTCCCCTTTTGTTGCACAGCTCTGCTGCCGGAGGGGAGACCGACTGTCTCCCCTTTGGATACTCTAAGCTGTCGCTGGGGAGAGGGGGTAACAGCTCCTCTCCCGATAGAACACTCTGCCGCTGGGGAAAGGAGACTGAGCTCTCTATTTCCTGCCCATTAATGATCTGCCGCTGGGGAGAGGTGGTAGCAAGCTCCTCTCCCATACATACTTTCATCCTCTGTGGAGGGAGACCGACTGTCTCTGCTCCCAATACAGTGTCCTGCTGCTGGGGAAAGGAGACTGGGCTCTCTATTCCGGTAGGACACTCTGCCGCTGGGGAATGGAGACTGGGCTCCCAATTCCCTGCTGTATCTCCCGCTGGGGAATAGGAGACTGGGCTCCCAATTCCCGGCACATCACTCTGCCGCTGGGGAATGGAGACTGGGCTCCCAATTCCCAAAAAATCACGCTGCTGCTGGGGGGCAGGAACAACTACCTCTGCCCCTGTAGCTCAGCCTGCCGCTGGGGAGGGAGGACGCTGCTCTCCTCTCCCTGCACTTTACACTGCCTTCCCGGCATATCACTCTGCTGCTGGGGGCAGGAACAACTACCTCTGCCCCCTGTAACTCAGCCTGCCGCTGGGGAGGGAGGACGCTGCTCTCCTCTCCCTGCACTTCACACTGCCTTCCCGGCATATCACTCTGCTGCTGGCGGGCAGGAACAACTACCTCTGCCCCCTGTAACTCAGCCTGCCGCTGTGGAGGGAGGACGCTGCTCTCCTCTCCCTGCACTTCACACTGCCTTCCCGGCATATCACTCTGCTGCTGGGGGGCAGGAACAACTACCTCCGCCCCCTGTAACTCAGCCTGCCGCTGGGGAGGGAGGACGCTGCTCTCCTCTCCCTGCACTTTACACTGCCGCTGGGGAATGGAGACTGGGCTCCCAATTCCCGGCAGATCACACTGCCGCTGGGGAATGGAGACTGGGCTCCCAATTCCCTGCATATTACACTGCCGCTGGGGAATGGAGACTGGGCTCCCAATTCCCTGCATATCACACTGCCGCTGGGGAGAGGAGACTGGGCTCTCTCTGTCCCGCAACTGTAGTTGCCGGTGGAGGTCCACCCACCGTGGCAGCTGACCGTCACCCTCTGCCCGGTACAGCAGAGTCTTGAATACTAGACTCCTCACGAACTTCACGAATTTCTCAGCTGGATTAGGCCCGTAGAAGTTCAGCCGCAACCACATCATACGGTCAAATTCCTGTACAGAGTATCTGTACTCCACTGCTGGTTCCATTCTGTTGCTGTCAGGGTCGCTGTACTGAGAAATGCGTTGCCCTCAAATTGTAAAATCCACGGAATGGTGTCTCCTGTAGCTGTCCTTCTGGTTGTAGGAACGATCCCGCTGCTTGCCACCAATTGTAACGGACCATTTTGCACACAAGGGGTAAAAAACGTTTAGGCGATCGGCCCCCTTTCCAGAGATACAGGCACAGCTACTGCAGAATACCAAACTCCCGAACTGGAACCTCCCAAATAGCTGCTAGCAGACGAACAGGAAAAGCAGACAATCAGCTTACACTCCTGGCAATCAGTCTCTAACAGCATACAGTGAATCCCCCCCCAAGAACGAGACAAGGCTCCGTGTTGAGGGTCAAGCAGTGGTCTGAGGTGCTGGCACACCCAGCCTGGTTTTATTACAGTGTTTCAAATACAGGACCACCCACAGGGAGGGATAAAACAACCAATCATATCACAGTTACATCCCACATATTCCCTCCCCTTATCCTGAGAGGAAACCCAATTATACAAACAGTTAAAACATACTTTCTACCCAACTTTCATAACTCCAAAACCATACATCACATTCACATAAAATTACATATTCTCAATCAATCCATTCAGGGGAACAACATATTCAAAAATGGCACAAATCAGACAAGGGGTTCAACAGTTAGTAAAAAGTCCTTTGTGACTAATTGAAGCATGGCTTTCTGGCCCAAACCAGTTTCAGAGTCTTCTATCCTGGAGATAAGTAATTCAATTATCTCCCAGGACAGACACAAGACTCCATTAAGCACATGGTTGCAAAAAGACACAAAGCACTTTAAAATACATAAAGTCACATTTATACATAAAACATAGACATTTCACATATCCCCAGATAGCTCAGGTCTGAGCGCACATTATTAAGTGAATGGCGCTCGGACCACACAAATACAGTTTAATCACCATGGAGCCAAAGTCTTTACAGTCAGTTTCATACAAATGGGCTCCATGGGATTCCTATCTGGGGTATAACACCTTCAAACAAATCTACTGAACCCCAGGCAGAAAAGCACGAATACAGCTTTTCTGCAGGCAAAAATAAAGTCTTTTAAAAGGGGGCCATAGTCCAAAGGCAGCAGGCGAGCAACCAGGCTTCTCCAATGCAATGTGGCGAGATTGGTCTCGTCACAATACCAGTTTCAGATATACTGCTATGTTTACATTTGAGGTTAATCCAGCCTCTAGTGGCTGTCTTCCTGACAGCCATAGAGGCGCATCTGCGACGCTGGAGGCACATTTCGCCTCCATCGCGCAGAGCGTCCATAGGAAAGCATTGAGAAATGCTTTCCTATGGACACTTTGAATGCGCGCGCGGCACTTGCCACACATGCGCATTCTACTCCACTGACGTCGGACGGGGGAGCTGACGTCGGTGGGGGAGGAGAGGTCACCAGCGCCGAGGGAGCCCGGCGCTGGAATAAGGTAAGTAGCTGAAGGGGTTTTAACCCCTTCAGCGCCATGGGAGGGGGACCCTGAGGGTGGGGGCACCCACAGGGCACTATAGTGGGAGGAAAACCACTTTGTTTTCCTGACACTATAGTGATCCTTTAAGGCCAAAATAGCTGAGCTGGAGTCACAGGTTAGATGTAGAAATGTTCCAGTTTGACTATTTTGCCTTCAATTCCAAGTGGATTTCATTGTTAATACATTGTTTATAGAAAAATCATGTCTGTTTACAAGATATACTGTACATTCCTGAGGGCCATTGTGCTTCCTCCAAAATGACCACCACTGTGGAAATAATTAAATGCACATGCACCAACTGTAATGGTCATGGTTTTTAATGTAATCCTTAGGCTGTGGGTGTCACACTGTACAAAAATAACCGCCAATAAAACATAGTCACAGATTACTGATATGTGTGCCAGAAATAATATTATTTAGTATATATTTTATAATCTTTAAAGTAAAGCCATATTATTTGCATGACAACTACATTTTAAACTATTCCCCAGACGAAGGTGTATGCAGGCAATCTATTTCATTTTATACAATTTATAGTTCATGTGCTTGTTTCTGATATTATTTTTGTAGACCTTGTTTTTATTGATTAAACATTGCAAAGTTTAGGGTAAAATATTGGAGTCAGGACAATTCTGCAATTCAGCAATATTTCCATCACGGCTCTTTTGATCTACATTTTGCAACCGAGGTTCCAGTTCACCACAGTTCACAATAGGTCGTCTAGTAAATGATCATTAAAGGCTTTCTCTTTGCAACTCAGTTTATGTTTGTAGTTTGTGTTTGTTATCTAATTTCTGTCACTGTATACTCTTCCAGATTAATATTAACAAATTATTTAACTCACCCACTGGGCAGAGAAAGCGAACTGAATAATTGGAACAGTTTTTGCCCTCTTCTTGCTCCTTATTGATACACCAGAATCCCTTCACCAGACTGTAATGCACCACTTCTCCTGTCTTCCCTGCTGGCACCCATTCTGTTGTACGTGCCTCCATACGGAGAGGTTTCTGGCATACTCTGTTTGGATAGTAAAACCTTATAGCATCCAAGCGCTCATAATCCCCATTGCCTCCTGGGTGGTCAATGTTAAACCAAGTGGTCCAAGTGGTCCATTCCTGAAGCTCTGATCGATGAAAAAAATAAGATGTTAAAATGTCACATGTTACAGATGAAATCTCATACAGTAGGACATGTAACATAAAAACCAAAGAAAAACAAGTTACCTGCGCTATCTCCTTAATCCCTATGTATTTTTAAACAAATTGAGGTTTTTTATTTACCTCCAATGGCCATGAGAGGACAGGCCCACCTGCCAACGTCAAGGCAGACCTCCCCCTCCCTTAAGCTTCCTTGAGCTTCTGGCAAAGATCTCTAATGAGACAGAAAGGGGTATTTTTATATACACCCCTATATATTATTAACCCTTAATAGGGAACACATGAGATGGGCGGCTGCATTGCAACAAAGCTGAGTGATACAAAAAATGGATACAAATGCAGAAAGATAAGTCCTTCGCTCACTCCCATCACTGGGCGGCAGCAATGACTAAAGTACACATCAGCCCCAATATATAGTAAAAACCAAAGAAAAACACGTTACCTGCGCTCTCTCCTTAATCCCTATGTATTTTTAAACAAATGGAGGTTTTTTAGTTACCTCCAATGGCCGAGAGAGGGCAAGCCCACCTGCCAACATCAAGGCAGACCCCCCTCAGGTGGGTCCTAACTCTAACCATTCACCTTACTTCCTTGAGCTTCTGGCAAAGATCTCTAATGAAAGGGGTATTTTTTTTGTATACACCCCTATATATTATTAACCCTTAATAGGGAACACATGGGATGGGCGGCTGCATTGCAACAAGGCTGAGTGATACAAAAAATGGATACAAATGCAGAAAGATAAGTCCTGCGCTCACTCCCATCACTGGGCGGCAGCAATGACAATGAGGTTGGCAGGTGGGCTTGTCCTCTCATGGCCATTGGAGTTAACTAAAAAAACTGGAATTGTGGTGTAGCCCCAGCCGCGTGGAGCAACCATCCGTGGCTGCATTGAAGGTGCCGATGCTCATGGGGCCATCTGATGGCAATGAATTACCTATGTGTGTGAATGTTTGTATCTGTGTCTGTGTGTGAATGTGTGTGTGTGTGTGTGTGTGTGAATGTCTGTATCTGTGTGTGTGTGTGAATGTCTGTATCTGTATGTCTCTATGTGTGTGACTATATGTAAGTGTGTGAATGTCTGTATCTGTCTCTGTCTGCATGTGTGTCTGTATGTGTATCTTTGTCTGTATCTGTCTGCATGTGGGTCTGTATGTGTATCTGTTTGTATGTATGGGTCTCTGTATGTCTGTATGTGTATCTGTTTGCATGTGTGTCAGTGTGTTTCCCTATGTATCTGTTTGTGTCACAGTTTATATCTGTATGCGTGTCATTCTGTGTATCTGAATGTTTGTCATTAAGTGTGTCTGTGTATCCGCATGTGTGTCTATAGGTGTATCTGCCTGCATGTGTGTCTATGTATCCACATGTGTGTTCTGTGTCTGTATGTGTATCTGTTTGTATGTGTATCTGTTTGTCTGTATGTGTATCTGTATGTCTGCATGTGTTTCAGTGTGTGCCCCTATGTATCTGTATGTGTGTCAATGTTTGTATCTGTAGAAGTGTCATTCTGTGTATCTGAATGTGTGTCATTATGTGTGGCCGTGTATCTATCTGTATGTGTTATAGTATACAAATGGAGGGGCGGAGGGGGGCAGTGCAATTTTTGCACCAGGGCTCTGTAGTTTCTAGTATCGCCTCTGTGCTACACTGACATTCACCTTGCTGCTTTAAGCTATAAGATAAAATCTCTAATAAGACAGAGAGGGGTATTTTTCCAAACCACTTATTAACTCTTACTATGGAACACATGGGGTGGGCATAGGGATTTGGGATAGCGTGCAAGTAACTTTTCTCTTTGGCAAACTAATAACTGCCTTAAATGAGTATGGAAATGTTTGTACATAGTACATTGTAACAATTTGTTTTTACTATTGATACTTAACGTATTCAAAACATGGTTGATATTGAAAATATGACTGCCCAGCATCTTTGTTTAGCTTTTATTAGATTATTGCAAATCTTAAACTTCAGTAAGTAAGGCTAGTATTAAGAAAGTCAGCACATCTTATGAAAGTAATTATGCTTAACTTATTTTAGGATATAATTTCTCTGCAATCAGTGGTTTATTTAATTTCATTAACCTTCTGGTACTTCGACAGGAATATCCTAAAATTCGGCTCATTACCATCTCTCAAGGAATGTTGCTGTGCGTTTTCTAAGCTTGATTAACCTCTAAATATTTGCATCTGTGACACAGAGAATTAACAGAGTATTGCATACCTTCTGTCTTGATCTTTGCCAGGGGGCTAATAATCTTCTTCCCCACTCGTATTCTTCTGGTAGAGTGATTTAACACAGCATCAGGTTTCTTGGAACCTGAAAATCATGACAGGGCAAAACTGGCATTAAACGGTTACAAACATTGGCTTTCAGTCTCATTCTGCACACAAGAGGTTTATTTAAAAGAACGGAGTTGGGAAACTTCCCCAGGTTTGCACAATTTGAGGGTTTTTGCCCAAACAGTAAATTTTAACATACATTTCACTTGTCTTTAAAGTCACCCCAACTCACTGATTCGTGAATGAGCCCCAAAGTTTTTAAACATCCTATGGCAGGCTTACACGTTGTGCTATGGCTTCATGGCTGTCCTATTCTGAATGCTTAAAATGTTGATAGCTTGCAATTTACAAATTGTGTGATCCTTCCCCTCTTTCTTTTAGACTGCAAGCCTCTATGAATAGGGCTTTCATTACTGTTTCTGGACAAAAGGTAAAATAAATGCCCTTGTGGGAGCTCCCGTGGGAACTGGACAGACCTCACTTGATTTTGCAGAATCTTTTTGAGATTTGTTTTGTGGGGAATTTCACAGTTTTATATAATCAATAATCAGTAACTCAGTGGGAGCTTGTAACAACAACATGGATATTATATTGGAAAAAAAATGTAATAGAAACATAGAAACATAGAATGTGACGGCAGATAAGAACCATTCGGCCCATCCAGTCTGCCCAATTTTCTAAAAACTTTCATTAGTCCCTAGCCTTATCTTATAGTTAGGATAGCCTTATGCCTATCCCATGCATGCTTAAACTCCTTTACTGTGTTAACCTCTACCACTTCAGCTGGAAGGCTATTCCATGCATCCACTACCCTCTCAGTAAAGTAATACTTCCTGATATTATTTTAAACCTTTGTCCCTCTAATTTAAGACTATGTCCTCTTGTTGTGGTAGTTTTTCTTCTTTTAAATATAGTCTCCTCCTTTACTGTGTTGATTCCCTTTATGTATTTAAATGTTTCTATCATATCCCCCCTGTCTCGTCTTTCCTCCAAGCTATACATGTTAAGATCCTTTAACCTTTCCTGGTAAGTTTTATCCCGCAATCCATGAACCAGTTTAGTAGCCCTTCTCTGAACCCTCTCTAAGGTATCAATATCCTTCTGAAGATACGGTCTCCAGTACTGTGTACAATACTCCAAGTGAGGTCTCACCAGTGTTCTGTACAATGGCATGAGCACTTCCTCTTTCTACTGCTAATACCTCTCCCTATACAACCAAGCATTCTGCTAGCATTTCCTGCTGCTCTATTACATTGTCTGCCTACCTTTAAGTCATCAGAAATAATCACCCCTAAATCCCTTTCCTCATATGTTGAGGTTAGAACTCTATCAAATATTCTGTACTCTGCCCTTGGGTTTTTACGTCCAAGATGCATTATCTTGCACTTATCCACATTAAATGTCAGTTGCCACAATTCTGACCATTTTTCTAGTTTACCTAAATCATTTGTCATTTGGCTTATCCCTCCTGGATGATCTAGATACAGAGAGAGAGGACAGTTCTGCATTTTGGGGTACTGTCCGGACAAAAATAGGCCGCAGGGACCTGTCAGCCAGGCCACCCTCTATATTTATTGGCCTTCCCTTTGATGGGTGGGCCTGCCCCCTTGATGGGCGTGCCATGCAAACTGCTCTCTGCCCATCTGTGTATAGATTGCTTTTTAGGTAAACTTACAAATTTAAATAATGTAAGTTTACACTATTTTTATTTTACAATTAATCATTCATCCTTTATAGGAAGGAAAATCTGTGGATAGTATACAATGACTTTTCACATGCAATAATTCACACAGGATCTCACAAATCAGTATCAAAGCAAAAATACAGGTATTCTCCCCCAGGCTGCTATAGAGCGAATGCTCCCCCTGTTCGGTAGATAATATCTTCCGAACGCTGTTTGTCTACTTGGTCAGGAAGTGGGACGGGCAGCAGTATCATCGTTGCCCAGGTTCACAGAAATGCGAGGCTGAAAATAGTTCCAGGTGTTCGACGACCAAGTACCGCTGCCTGAGTTCGAGAGGCAAAATGGGCATGCACTGGACCACGTGTATTCGGTTATACGAATGGCGGCCACCCAGGGAAAACACTTAAGCAAAGGTGTCAAGTTGTTAATTTGTAGTTAGCAGCCAGGAGAGGTCAGTGTTCGCTGGGGCAAAACCAGGGGACCACACACCAGTCATTCGGGAGATGAACAAGGGGGTACGGACAATCAAACACAAGGGAATGGAGTCTGCTACATCCTCTAGACTGTAAGCTTGTTTGAGCAGGGTCCTCTTCATCCTATTGTCCCTGTAAGTTTTTGTAATTGTCAAATTTATTGTTAAATCTCCCCACTCGGCGCTGTAGAAATGCCAATAATAATAATAAAAAAAAACCTAATGGACAAAAAAATTCTCACATGCAGTAGGTGTGACAAAAATAGTGATAAACTATAAAAATAAAAATGGTCAAATAGCCAAATGACTAGCAGTAGAGCTTTATGAAAAAGGGTATTAAAATGTTAATGTCTGCATTTGAACATAATGCTGACGCTCTCTGCCTCTCTGCAGCCGGAATCTCTCTACTGAGCTCAGTCTCGCCGATCAGCTAATGGCACCCAGGTGACTCCAAGCAAGGTGTCAAACTGTTAGCAAATTGGGGGGTGGCAAGGCATTCCTGGCACCGTAACCACTACAGCGAGCAGTAGTGCTTATGGTCCTCGTAGTGCCCTTTCAAATGAGTTGCCAGTGGTTTCTTGCAGAGATATTAATTCCTCTACAACAGCACTGTATTGGCAGTGAGGCAAACAAGGCATTTGCCTTGGGTGGCACTTTCCAGGGGGCGGCAAAAAACGCCCCCAAATGCCCAGGCTAATGCCTTGTTAGCCTCGGGGCAGGCGGTTAGCTGAGCTCCAGGCAGGCGGCGAGGGAGCGCTGATATGATGTTACATTCCGGTTCCCTGCGGCGCCTGCAGCTCAGCTAGCCACCCACCTGTCTGCACGCCTGCCCAAACAGCCTGGCCAGCAGCCCCACTGGACCCCAGGTCAAATTTGTAAATTTAAATAAAAAAATAATCTGTGAGTGTTGGGGGGAGGGATAAATGTGTGTGCGTGTCTATCGATCAGTGTGTCTCTGTGAGTGAGTGTGTGTGTCAGTGTGTAAGTGAGTGTATGTCTGTCAGTCTGTGAGTGAGTGTTTCTGTCTGTGAGTGAGTATGTGTGTGTGTGTTTGTATGCCTGTCAGTGTGTGTCTGTGAGGGAGCCTGTATGTCTGAGTGACTGTGTGTGTCTGTCAGTGTGTGTCTGTGAGTGGGTGTGTGTCTGTCAGTGAATATGTGTTTTTGTCCGAGTGATTGTATGTGTCTGTCAGTGTGTGTCTGTGAGTGTGTGTGTTTTCTGTGAGGGGGCCTGTGTGTCTGAGTGATTGTACACGGTATGTGTCTGTCTGTGTGTGAGTGTGAGTGAGTGTGTGTGTGTGTGTCTGTCAGTGAATGTGTGTGTGTATGTGTGTGGAGGTGTGTGTGTCTGTCAGTGAGTGAGTGTGTGTGTGTGTCTGTATCATTGTGTGTGTATGTCAATGAGTGTGTATGTGTCTGTCAGTGATTGTTTGTTTGTGTCTGTCAGATTGTGTAAAATCAGTGAGTGTGTGTGTGTGTGTATGTCAGTGTATCTGAGAGTGTGTGTCTGTCAGTCAAGTGTGTGTTAGTCTTTAACAGGAAGAGGTGTGGCCTTGACAGAAGGGGTGGGGCAAATGTAAATTAGGGGGTACCCGAGTCTGTCATGCCTAGGGCAGCACTGATCCAAAAAAAACCAAACCACTGCTCTACAGTCTGGTCTGGTACTCTCAGTCTAGAGTATAAATGCAGGTGAGTGAGACTTTATATATATCATTTTGTTTTGCAAAGTTAATGAAAAGTAAAAACATTCATACATGCTTCTGGGGTTAATATATATATATATATATATATATAAAGCAAACAATTAAAAGCTGAAATCAGGTGTAATAATATGTAAAATGCTCTATGTAGCATTGCAACCCACAATCAGTGGACATAGATTATATTGGGTTTTTATATTGGGAGTACCTATTTAACTGACGTTTTTGTCTCTTTACAAATGTAGCATACAGTAATTCATACAATGTCAAGTGCCTAAAAAAGACAATTCTTCATTCTTTATTTGACATCAGAGGAATACCAAGCTTCAAAAATACAGTTTTGGACACCTGATCCCTGCTCTATAGTTAGACCTGATATGCAGTAGAGTCTTAAAAAAGGATGTACGAAAATGCCCCTCAATGTTGAATTCCAGGCATGGGTGGGAATTGTGGAGGGCATTCTAAACAGCTGCTCCGCGCCAAAAAAGGCCAACTGAGATTTCTAACATTTATATCTAAATATGTATACACCTATATTTCCATCTCACATAATCTGCGTACATATAACAGGAAAACAAACCCGTTTGACTATAAATACTCCAACATATAATATGAAATAGCCAGGATCTGTGAAATGATAAACAAAGGAATACAAGAAATCAGGGCTTTTAATGAAATCACACAATATTCTCTTCATGTATGGCGTATCTAGAGTACTTTGAAACATTTCTTTTAAGTTACACAGTTTACTACTATGTCATGCCAGTGCTGCCTACTACTTGCTTTTCATTCTTAAATATTCTCATTGTTAGATTTCTCTGTCCCTTATGGACAAAAAAGTTGTTCTGCAACATTTTGAACTAAATTTGCACTTCGAAGAACGGAGATACATTTACTGGGGAAACAAACCAACCAACTCTCCCCCTACCCCCCCAAAAAAAATTTTTTACAAAAAGAACCGTACCAACATGTTAAAATACTGTTATGTTGCACATTTCACACAATATTATACATTTCAATGTGCTTACAAGTCTACTCATGAAATAAAAACAGGTACATTCGATCATCATTAACATCTCCATGATAAATGAGAAGTTAATGGCAGGCAGCTGCAAAAATACAAGTGTGCTTTATAATTTTTTTTCTTGTGACCCACTTGGTGTCACAGAAATGTATGTTCCTTAGCCTTGCTTTAGACCTGACAAGTATGTCATTGAGATTGTGACAGAATGAGACAGTGTCCATCCTTTCTCTCTATGGCATTGCAACAAACCTTGTCCGGACACATAGACCACCTCCAAGAAGAGCAGACAGACAAGGACACCAGATCTCATCTTAATCCGTGTGTCCACTTCTGGACCACCCTCAACTTGCTGCAACTTATGTTCTGGATCCTGGCACCTATGGAAACATAAAAAAAGGGAAAAATGCTTAAGAATGTAAAATCACACCCTAAAACGGACTGTGTCAATAAATCATTATATGTTTTTTAAGGGGTTTACAAAGATAGATACCACTTCTATATTTGAAGCAGTTTTACATTCAGGGCTCTGGAGAAACATTATATGTGTGGTGTGGGTTAATTGGATGCCACAACTAGTTCTATAAATATCGAACGCAATGGCAATGGGTGCTGTTTTTTGATATTATGGAATAATGATATTTTCTAGGCTAGAGATAAAACCCTCAAATTATGCACCCAGTTCTGCATCTCCAAGATTTAGTGTTTCAAATGGGCTCTTTAATTCACACATTGTTTATTTATAATTTAATATATATTCATATTATGTGCCAAATTAATAAAAGAATTGGGATACATAGTTATTTTGCCCCAATATGAATGCAGGTTTCTACTTTGGTCAGAAGTAGCATCTGTGCACTTCCACAATGAGAAGATATATAATCAGGAAAGAGGGTAGGCAAACCTAAAGAAAGGGCCCACAGAAGGAGCATGTCAGCCTGGTGTGAATGCTGACTGACAGCCTTACTGGCAGGCCTCACTCAGTACAGACCATGTACAGTGCCTTAACACTATTCACCGCAGTGCAAGTCTAATTCTGTGCGAGCATTACTCTTGCTGGGGACAGTTCCTTGGTGTCCCCAACCAGAGACACCTGGAAGCCAACCTAAAGATGGCGGTTTAGGTGCCAGAAATTGAGACAGTCCTGAGACAGAACATGATATTTGTAGTTTATGTCTGTACAAGTGGCATCACCTAAAATCATGCTTCTGAAAAGAGTCGGCTTTTTGTAAATTGAACATGGCAGTTACATGTATAGCATTTTGATAAAACAGGTACAATATAAATACAACTTTGATACAATTACAATGCAGTTACCATATTAGTCCCATGTTTACTGGTGCAGGTATGTTGTTCAATAGTTGTGGGTAGGTATAACTACCCGCTGCAGTGTCTTATGGACTCTATATTTTTTACTGTGAAGCTCTATATGTGTTGAGGGTGGCAGTGTACCATCTTTGTCAGCCGATTCTGAGCTTTCTGATGACTGGTGGTGTGGGTTGCTCAGTTGAGCTGAAGTCTCGTCAGTTCATCAGTCCCAATCTGGGCCCAAGTTCCCTTTACCACCGTTGTTTTCTTGACACCAGGTAACCTAGTTACCTTTTCGAGTAGTCTAGCTGTATTGGTAACGAAGTATGTAGGCATAGGAGGAGAAAAGTGGAGAAGTGAAAGTAGGAAAATAAAGACATGAGGAGGAAGATTGTCCATAGTGGGACCTAGGGTGTCCTAATGCCTTGAGATTGCATGCTGGTAGTTTACCAGCTTTTAAAAGGGAGGGGGAAGGTCCAATCCATGGAACACGAATCATGGTATATCTGTTCTGTATTGCTTGTGACAGTGAGAGGTCATTTACTGCATCTAGGGAATCCATACCCCTAATTTTACATATATATATATATATATATATATATATATATATATATGTTCATAATTTTAAAAACCAATTAGGTTTATGTTTTTGTTTTTTTTAACTGAGTAGCTTGGCTCTCTGGGACATCATATATTTTATAGTTAAACATTGTTAAATAACACGTTAGAGCACTTTCACATTTTTAGTGAGCAACACAACCACGCAGCATTCTAGAATGACAACCTCCAATGACGCCAGGTAGTAGAAACCAGAACTGACATTTTCTAGAAATCTGGCTAACACAATGTGCAGTTTAAATGTTATGTTCTGTAAAGTTGCAGTATTCACATGACACTTTAAAGTGTAAGACTGGTAGCAGTGGAAATCCTAATGTTGAGTGCACAGTACATTGTCAGGTAGCAAGCCGTGTTCCTTGCCATCTCCTTATCCATTCTGTTCTACATGCAGAATCTGCTCCATTCCAGATCTCTGTTCCATACATGCCAGGTTTGGTAATCGATTCAGCAGAACCTGACATTTTCACAGTGTTGCACATTTGTGAGTAAAGATCTAAAAAAAATACACTCAGAGTCTCTTATGGACCAAACTATTTCACAGATGGTTTAAGGTAGCTGTTTCAAAGCAGCCAGACTTCCCCTTTACAATCCTCTGGACAGATGAACTTGTGGTTTCAGGATATACATTTCCACCCCCACAATTCAAATCTGATCTTAATGCTTTACATAGCTTCCAGTAGGTAAGGACATCTCTGTCTGTCTGTCTATCAATCTATCTGTCTATTCTGTCTGCCTGTCTATTGCTAAACAGAGATAATTAAGTATGAGTAAGCACTACTTAAAATGTTTTCGCTGAGGGAGTAAACAGGCACTACTGTAATGATCGTTTTCCTTTATTAATTATCTCAAAGCAATGTACTATTTAGCAAACAAACAGCAGATTTTCTAAAACGACCCTATATTAGCAGTGAAAACCAAGAGCAGTGTGTCTTTGGTCGAGTATCAGACGTTGCGTCAGCTGTTAAGTGCGTTAAGATTGTCAATAACGGTCTCTGACATTTTGCTCTGTTTACATCCATGTCTCACATATTTGGAAAAGTCCATAAAATGCTTTTCAGCCTACGCCCAGACCAGGATCCAATGGAAGATGTATCCAGGACAAAATTTGTCCGGAATATGGAAATTCCAGGGTTTAAAAATCAATTTACTATTGGCTCACATCTCTCTTTGCACCCACTTGCAAACTCAAAGAAAACTTACAGCATAAATCTTGCTTGTGTGGAAAGATGATTAAGCTGTGTGTGAATAAAAACAGTAAACTTAGGAAACCAGCTGGTTTGAGAACGAAAAAAAAATATGTATTTTAGGATTATTTTTAAATGATAGGAGCATGATAAACTATTTTGTAAATGAGCAATATAATCTCATTCTTGGTATACCTTATTATCATATTAACACTCACAAAGTAATTCATTCAAGTTATTAATTATTAGAAATTTAATTCATTAAGCCCAATTAGACAAACTTAAAACATAGTTTACGTGAACAATTTTTCCCATTCACCTATTTTGGCCTTAAAAGGAAAATGTCACTTCTTAGGAAATTACACGTGGAATAACATGTTAAAAATCACTTATAACTTGTGTTAAACGATTTTTAATGTGACAGTTAAAAATATAAAAAAATAAATAAATATATATATATATATATATATATATAAAAATAGCAAATTACATCACAATCCAGTTCAGTCCAGACATACACATTGCAAATGAGGAGAAATTGAATTTAAAAAAAAATAAAATAATAATTTCTCAATTTCTCTGTATAATTTCTCTATGCTCACTGCCAGGTGCAAAGGGCAGAGTTTATAACAATGATTGACAGGGAGCTAAGTTAGAGGTATCCAACTGCAGGAAAAATAGATGTGGATTTCTACATTTAAGTTTATTTTCCAAGCTTCACAAATACATATCTGTTAAATATTGGGGCTAAGTAAACAAAAATCATTAGAAAAATTGTGATCACTTGAAAAGCTTATCCAAACATTTTAAATTATGGTCTGAGGTGGAGAGTTGCTCCAAATCTGTCTGGTCTACTTGATAATTTAGTCTACTTGATAATTTTAATTTTCATTTAAAGGAACAAATACAAAAGTGTATTCCTAACTCTATCGTGCCCCTTCCCCCCCCACCCCCCAGCATTGTATAAACCCTTACTGTACTTCCCAAATTCCAGATTGGTGCTGGTTTGGCACAACACCTCCTCTGACATCATCCGATAGGGGGGCTTATGTGCATTCACGGCAAGCTCATTATGCACTACCTCTAGTGGCCTGATTGACAGCCACTAGAGGTAGTCTTAAGCCTGCAATAAGTAACATTGCAGGGTTAAAGGCATGCTATAGTGCCAGGAATACAAACAAATTACTTTATTTACTTACCTTATGTTCCATGGCACCGGGTCGCTGCTTCTTCTCCTCTGATGTTACTGACTAGGGGGTGCTAATATGCATGGACAGCAAGTGCCGCATACACATTAGGCTTTCCCCGTAGGAAAACATTGAATCAATAATTTCCTATGAGGAAGTAGCTGACACTGGATGTCCTCATGCAGAGCGCAAGGACCTCCAGCGTCAGTTATCGGACCAAAAGTCTGTTAACATCCAGGAAGCACCTCTAATGGCTGTCTAATTGACAGCCACTGGAGGCAGACTTAGTGCTGCAATGTAAACATTGCAGTCTCTCTAAAATATTAATCTTTTACATTACAGAACTAAGTGCAATAGGGACACTGTACCCAGACCACTTCAATGAGCTGATGTGAAGCCCATTGAGAAAGCACAGCTTAGGGAATAGGGCCCTAACAGGACTAGGAGGCGGGCTAAGGGGCGGGGGCTAGTGTTTGGGGGTTGGCCGATATAAATGGTCCGCCATCTTGGATCCTTCATTCTAACCTTGCAAAGTTGGTCCCTCCCTCCTTTTTTGTAGCCTTTTCCCTGTTTGGTCACAGCGTTTAGGTTCATAGATCCCTCCCCTGCCAATATGGCAACTCTGCACCTGTCTGGTCTGGGTGCCTATAGTGTCCCTTTAAGATTGTCACAGTTCACGGCTTTGTGAAAAACTATTGTCACAAAGCAATGTGCAACTGTTCTTTGCTGAACATTAAAGTGGATAATATCATATAAATAAAAATCATCGTATAATATAAAGGGTCATAACACTCTGATGCTTTAACTGTGAACTTTGTGAGCTAATAAGTTATAAAATATTAGAGACACAAACTTCTGGCAATGAAACTTTCCCACCAAATTTAATGCACTTAAATCTAAAATAAAATATATATAAATAAAACTTTAAGATGACAAAAACAATTTTCTACTCTTTTTAGAACCGTGCTTATGACACTATTCACGAAGTATTGAGTCTTCATCAACATTTAAGCTGAATTAGCTGCACAGCTAATTTTTATTTTAAGTATACACACACAGGTTGTGGAAAGGTGGCGCTATAGAATTATTATATTAAAGTGAATTTAGCTGCTATACACTCTGTGGGTACTCCTAAAAACCCAACATACATAGAAATCACCAAAAACAATGGAGGAAATTTACAGATTTATCAGGTGTCTATCCCTTTAAATCCTCAATTCCCGTGAGTGAAGCGCTTCAGTGTAAATTTAAATATTGTGAATATATATATGTAGTGCCAGAAAGCACTTACCATCTATACAATGCTCGTATTTCCGTATACATATATATAGGGAAAAAACAGATATATACAAATAATAGTGCAATATGTCTAAAGAATTAATTTCAATTATATATGTGAGTTCGAATGTAAATTAACTCACATTTTTTAGAGCCTTTTACAGTGGTAAGGCTCTAAACTTCCAAACGTCTGTGTCTTTTGGGTAGACCACTGAAGACTTATGTCTATCTTCTGTCCGTACTCCCACCTCCGACGCTCGCCTTCAAGATTTCTCGAGTGCTGCACCTTTCCTGTGGAACTCGCTTCCCTCCTCCGTTATTCCTTTTGTTTCAGTGTCCCTGCAGGCAGCTGCTCAAGTCTTCTTCCCTTTTTGCAGGAGTAGAGACTGGGTGAGCATCTAACGGAGGAGGGAAGCGAGTTCCACAGGAAAGGTGCAGCACTCGAGAAATCTTGAAGGCGAGCGTCGGAGGTGGGAGTACGGACAGAAGATAGACATAAGTCTTCAGTGGTCTACCCAAAAGACACAGACGTTTGGAAGTTTAGAGCCTTACCACTGTAAAAGGCTCTAAAAAATGTGAGTTAATTTACATTCGAACTCACATATATAATTGAAATTGATTCTTTAGACATATTGCACTATTATTTGTATATATCTGTTTTTTTCCCTATATATATGTATACGGAAATACGAGCATTGTATAGATGGTAAGTGCTTTCTGGCACTACATATATATATTCACAATATTTAAATTTACACTGAAGCGCTTCACTCACGGGAATTGAGGATTTAAAGGGATAGACACCTGATAAATCTGTAAATTTCCTCCATTGTTTTTGGTAATTTTTATTTTAAAATGTTATTTAGCCAAGAATTATAGAATTGTACACTAAAAGGGAGACAAAACTGCCAATGAAAAAATCAAGCATTTAATTAGGCCTTTTTTTCATTGTGGGTATATCTAAAAACAGCTCACAAAACATACAGCTCTCTTGTCTGCTGCCTTTGCAAGCCCTCCACTTCTTCTACAGCCCAAACTTTCTGTGGCTGTCAATCAAAGACTTCCCAATGCAGCTCAATGAGAAGTCTTTGCAAGGCAGATGCTCTGAGCAATTATCTGCCTCTTGAGTTTAGCTTCACTGAGCTAAACAAACCAGCAAGTAACAGGACCGATTGTCTTATTGACAGCTGGGTGAGTAAAAAGTTTAATTTATAAAAGTGCCAATTTATTTTGAAATCTGCTCTTTTTTAAAAAGTGAAAAAAGAGGCCGCACTCTTAACAAATGTTTGGACAAATCTAAAATGTAATTGCACTTTCTGCAGAATTTGTTTTCTGTACTGTAATAGACTATACTAATTCAACCAAGGTAAGGTATTATAAGCAGTATGCACCTGGTATTCGCAGACTAAAAAAATAATTCTGAAAATCCTTGTTTATACAGTGACAGATCTCTATGATTTAATAAGTAATACCTGTCTGCCGTAGCTTTCTCCCAGGACAGAATCAAGATGTAATTTGCACTTTATTTTTAGCAAAGGGAACAACCCACTTCTGGCAAGAGTTACTGTAAGGCAGAAAGCTCTTTTTTCCACAACTTTATTTTGTTAATGCTTTAGCTTCAGCCTCCTGTAATATCTTTAGTTTCTAATCGTTGAGAGTATTTGTGGGAAATAACACTATACATCATTTGTAAATCATTGATAGATGCCATAACAGTCTTCAAAGAGAAAGCACAACCATCTGGGGCATATTAACGCATCAACACAAAGTTATTTTTTTTTAAATTCAAATAATGTTTATTTAAAATCTGAAATAAAAAGCTTGAATATGAATTTTTAATAAACTGACACTTTTGTATTAAGTTATACCCGATATAAATGTGCAGAGTCTTATTTGATATATTTTACAAATTGTTGCAATGTGTAAAAGTGTCTGAAAATGGAAATGTATGCTATATGGGGGTGGAGGAGGGAGGGGGGGAGGGTTAGAATGTTTTAGCAAAGCATCATGGGAGCTGTAGTTCTACAATATGTAATTCTTATACATTGTCCTTTGAAACTGTCAAAACATGGAGAACAATAACAGGCTGCACTTGCTAGAATCAGGTGTGTCTCCTATACAATGAGAGAGGTAAGAGTTTAGCTTTTACATTCCCTCTGCACTGTGCGGAAGGAATGAGTGTCTCTGCTTGGTGCAGACTTGTGCTGGATTAAAGTGGAAGGCAACTGGGAACTAATAGGTTTAGCAGTGACCGCAATATAGATGCATTATTACAAACAGTATTATGCAGGAACATCATGATTTTTCATCCCTGTAGTGATAGTGTGTTACTGACTGTATCACATGTTACAATGAAACATATTAAACTCTATTGATGCCATCTTATATGGAATGCAAATATTTCAGTTTGTAAAATATAATAACTTTTCCTTGTAATGTGAATCCTGATAGATGGAAGTTAAGTGTATACAACACTTATATAATGTAAGACATGTGAATTTAATGTGCTACTTGTTAACGAGGCTTCTAATCATTTGCTCTTCTAACCAGCTAACTGCACAAAGGTTTGTGACATCCCATCATTATATATTGAGCTGTGCAATTGTCAAGAGAACACTGCCAGTATTGCACAGTAGGATATTCTGTGTTGTTGCGATGTGTTGAGTTTTCTACATCTGTAAAAATGTGCAAGCTAAATAAAATGCTATGAGTCAGAATAATTCTAAAACATACAAGCTGAGATACCTTGAATTAAAAAAATCTATTGGATTTTCTGTCTGAAGGAAAGAATACACGTTTTAGTTATGCCACTAGGTGAACAAGGCATAGCTCTGCTCCCTGTCATTCTAATGTATAAATGTGTAAAGTTTGCGCATGCTACTCTTTGCCATTAACTTCACTGTGCAGGGACATGTATGTTTGGAAGGATCTATCTATAAATCCCTGTGTTATGGAGTAGGCAATCCGTGTCACTGGTGGTAGAGATTGCCATGAGCAGGGCCAATTTACCGTAGGGCCTATTGGAGATTGTATATATGGTTGCAAAGTTTAGTTGCACATGAGACCAAAAACACAAATTTGTATTTTGCATTTAGTATTATTTTCAGCATGAGGCCTGTGAAGTCCCTAATAAGTATGACATCATACTGTCATTAACAAAGCAGGTTAGTTGACTTGCTTTGGTAAAGGCATAGATCACTTCAAAACCTCTTTCACTATGTATCAGAACCGATTGCTACAGCTGTAGTTACTCCACTTCACTTGAGAGCACTGTCTGGACATTATGACGCTTGTAATGTAATGTGATGTAAAAAAAAAAAAAAGACTGAAATAGAATCCCTTTCTTCCTTCCTGGTAAAAATAAGTATGTAATCCTATCTGCAAAGGAATACACAGAATCCCATTAATCTATATATATTAGAATGCCTGGTATACCTCTATAACCCCACAATAGCTAGATATTATTGTAGACTAAACATAGCTAGCCTTGACATACAGTCAGAATAAAGACTAGAGAACAATGTTTATATTCTCTTATTGTTGAATGCCCTAGGAGTGTACCACCTTGTGACATAAAAGATTATATTTCATAGTTCAAGTAAGATTATGCACAGATATAATGGGGGGTTCAATCTCCCATGCACTCAATTTTACTCCAAAAATAGAAATGTTATAGGCGCTCACTATAATATATAGACCAGACACCATAACAACCTTTGTTCCTTGTATATGTTATAGTCTAAGATAGGGGTACCCAGAAGGTAGATCCCCAGGTGCTTTAAAACTACAGCTTCTATGATGCTTTGTCATTCTAATGGCATTCTAAAGGCATGCAGAGGCATGAAATACATCATGGGAATTGTAGTTCTGTCACCCACCTGAACCATGCTATTTCAAGAAGAATTATATCTATATATTCTAATCTTATGTATTTTTTAATGTTATTATAGAGTAGACTTATATCTTACATCTATCGGATTATCTAGAGCTAAAACTTAAAGGGTTATTTACTAAAGTTAGTACTTAAGTGAATTTAAAATCTGTGGTCAAAATAGACAAATTGGAAAAATTCTCTAAGTTTGCTATGCTTCCAATTCGGCTACTTTAGCCTTAAATTTTAAATTCACTTGTGCATATCTCTGTCAGATTCCAAGTTATCTAACAACTTTTTCCATGTGGATACTGGTACAGTTTATATTCATAATGCCATAAACACATTTGCTCTATCTATGGAGGATCCTTTGGCCTCACAGCACCCTCACATGCACGAGAGTTACTTAGGCTCCTGGCAGCTGAAGAGGAATGAAGAGGACCAATAGGAAGATGATGACGGCACCCAAGAGGGGTAGGTTCAGGTAAGTAAAACACACCTTTTCTTGCCCCCCTTGGCTACTAGACCCCCAGCTGTGATTTCACCATCGGGTGTCGTTGCAAAATTATGCAAAGTCCCCCAAAAGTAACAGTTCCTCTTTAATCCTTCTAATTTTAAAATGAATAATAATGGGATTTGTACTCGCACAACACAAGTAACACTTTAAAGGTGCAGATATTAACAAAAGGCAATTAATTTAAAACTAAAACAAACACTTGAGTGCATACGTATTCGCCTCTTGAGTTAATACTTGGCAGAACCACTTGGCTGCAGTTACAGCTGTGAGTCTTTTGGGATAAGACGTCACTAGCTTTGCACATCTGAATTCTACAGTTTTTGAGAATGGCATAATTGATACTAAACTAGCTTAGCTTTGATTTAAGCTCCACTGGGAGCATACCATCCAGATCCTGTCAGTATAGTGTGGTATACTTCCCTCTCCAGTGGAGCTTTTCAAACCCAGAGCCAGGGGAGATTGGGCTTTGGTCCATGTGAATTCTCCCCATTACCTCTTACTGTACATTACACTATCCAGATTGTCTGCACTATATTGGGGTTTTTCTGTTATCTATAGATCAATTTTGTTTTCAAGCGTGCTTTTTTGTGGCAATATTGTAATATTGTAGTTTTAAATTTACCAAATATTGTGGGCTCAGTTACAAAGCTTCATAACTCCCCCCACTTTATAGTAAATTCTATTTTCTATAAATTAGTTATTCACTAAACATAGAAAGGGGGTGAATTGAATTCCGAATGGCAAGAATTAGATTAAACTAGCCAAGCTATGACTATAGATAGCAGATCTTTCCAGGTCAGCTATTTACCTTAACTTTTGCCATTTAGAATTCAGTTTACTACTGCTTACTGAATACTAAAACTGTTGACCTCTAATATGCAGAGAGAGACATTTTGATATTTGAGAGTTGTGGCTGAAGGCGAATCATTACCATTTCATTCTGCCTCTCTCTTCTGAAAAGATCATTGCTGGAAATATTCCAAGTGTTATTGTGTGTTAAAATAAAAATAATTGTTTGATCTAACCATTTCACTGCTGATCACAGTTCTAATACTGGGATCAGAGTGATCAGTACGTGAGTGTTACTTTGAGGGGGGTAGAAAGGTTTTTTTATTTTGTTAAACTTTTTTAACCCTTTGTAGTTTTTGTTAAACCCTCTCTGTGCTCTAATCACTGCATTGTCTGTCGGAGCATTTTATCTTACTTACCCTGACATTTTTTAACCCAAATTTAGATTAAAAATAAATAAATAATAACCCTTTTTGTGTTGATCGCAGCATTTTATTCTGTGATCAGTCATTCATTTTTTGTTTTAGGTTTTAGATGTGGGGTTCTGCGGTTGGGAGTGGGAATTGGGGGGTAAGTTGAGGGAGTGTGTGTTAGCAGTTAGGGGAAAAAAATATTTTACCTCTTAAAAAGTCGCCAAGGCATTTTACCATACTGTGGAGAAGGCCTAAGCCATGCTTACACGTAAGTCAGAGGAGAGTGACTCCATTCACCTGTCTGACAGTGAGACACTTAATGCGTCAGCCTCTAAGCAAGCCTTTTGATGATGGTACTCCCACCGTAACTCCATCCAGGAAGTGCTTTGAACCCTGCACTGTTTCTGAACATAACTGGGTTATCTAAGTGCCCCTGTAATACACTAATTTTTAGCAACTTCTGGCATCACAACCAGTTGACAGTTGTGATCCTGAAAATTATTTTAGTATGTTAAATACAGATGGCATGTTTGAGCTTATGGCTGCGCAAAGAAATTTATATGCCAGCCAATATCTCACTGCCAATCACAATTCTCACTACAGCAGGGAAAATATGTGGCACCCCACTGACAGCACTGAAATGAGGAGGTTTTGGGTGCTTAGGCTAGTAATCCTAGCAACCCCTTTTTTCTGGGGAATATAAAGAAGGGTAGGCATGAACAGCTTCTCAGTTACCTCCATTGTAGTGATAACACCCAGTTTCGCCTAGAAATGACATCTAATATGTTCATCAACACAAAATTAATTGATCACTTGTCAAAAATATTTTTTGAAAATTATACCCCTGACCAAAATATTTGCATGGACGAGTCCCATTTGAAGTGCAAAGGAAGATTGCTTTTCAAGCAGTTCATTCCATCAAAGCGGGCTCGGTGTGGAATAATATTGTATAAGTTGTGTAAACACAACACTGGACATTTCGTATTTTTGCAGGAAAAGACGGTCAACTAGATTCAAAAAGCTGTCCTGATTCTGTGGGGATAAATATCAACATTGTATGTGTTCTCCTCCTCCCATTAATGCATATGAGGTATCATCTATAGCTAGATAATTTCTATACTAGCATATATTTATTTTTAAAAACATATATATTTTGATAAAACACACTACGGTGGTTATTGTGGTACTTGGAGAGTTCCTTTAAGCTAAGACATTACATGGTTTATAAAATTACTATAAATGTCAGATAACCAACAATCATCTATGTATCTTGCATTTTTTTGACAGAAAGGTTCAGTCAAATCAATGTTACTCAGTGAGACCAATGCAAACATGTGTATTTAATATATAAGACCAAGTGTCTGACTTACTTAAAAGTCAGCTCTACACTGAGTAGGCAGAATTTATCAAAATAGCCATAAATTAGTAGTTTGTTAATATCAACTTAGGCAGAAGTTACATTTATCTTACCTGATTAATTACATTCTGGCAGGTGTCTAACATGTCCAGTAAAACTCTGCGCAGGGGTCTACGGGCTCTACTTTGCTAAATAAAAAGTGAGAGCAACAGATGTTTTGCAGCAAATGCAGGGAAAATTGAGACAAGAATATCAATTATTTTAATGTTTCAATTAATTTTGTTTGCATACTTTTTTTATTTATTTTTATTTTATTTTTGTAGTGCAGGTAGTTACCTGGGGTGGAAAATCTACCAGCTATACTCTCACCTGTCTGACGCTTTTTCCTTTTGCTGTTTGCATACTTTTTAATACGTTATCTGAGAAATATATTAAAATTGTGTTCATCTTCAACCTGAAGTGTCCTTCCTTTGAAATAGCCAGATTACAGTTAGATGTACATCATGAATAGGTGTTTGGAGGGACATTAATGCTTAGTGACTATAAATCTAAGTGAAACATAATATTGTCGCAATAGGAAATAATGACTTAGCTTGGCTGCCCGTGACAGACAGGTGCAGATTATGTAAGCACAGACTGAGAGCATTAGAAATGCTAGATGCATATAAACATTCATCCTGTAAGCTTGTGAAGTTAGCGACTGCACTTCAAATGGCCTGTTACTTTTACAAGTCATAAAATGTAAATAGACGTAATTAGTTAATATTACTACGTCACTTACATAAATCTACTGTGAATCAAGCTCTAATTTCCCTTCGAACATTTAATTACTATCATGTTTTTTACTACAGTAAGAATTCAAAGTGAATTTCAAATTTAAGGCCAAAGTGACCAAAATTCAAGCAAAGCTTACTTAGATAATTGTTTCATTTTGGCTATTTTTACCTTTTTAAAAATCACTTTGGATTCACCTTGAATCCTCATGTTAGTGAATAAATCTGCATTCTGCAATGGAGTGTTCTGCTAACCCAAAGACTGTGACCATGGGACCTAAGGTGTTTGTGAACTACAATTCCTATGATGCTCAGAAAGACTTAAAGAGGATCTGTCACCTTTTTCTTTCTGTCAGTTCTTATGTTACTCAGTAAACACTTTTTACAACAGAGTTCACTCAAGTCCATTTGCCCCTCTACTGAATGGGGCAAAACCGTTCTGTTGTGTATGGGGAGCATTCAGAACATGGACATTATTCACAATAAGTAACACTGTCTGGATCTTGCAATTCTGGTTCAGAACAGATCAGAATTATTTTGGCATTTCAGCCTGACCGAACGCTGTCACAAGCCAATGGGCAAAAAGTTCAAAATAGCTTTGGCAGCACAAGGGTTAAGTTATGTGGCAGCTTGCCACAGTCACCGCAACAAAAAGTTAAAATAAAATGAAATAAAAGCATAACTGGCTCAATTTGTCCCCATCTAACAGGAAGGAGCTTTAATACATCCCTTATACCTCCAATCCATTTTGAATTCATAGATTCTCTACAAGACGTGTCCAGATGGTTGAGCACACCAATTGCCATTCATGCCCATTAGGTCTCCAATACTTCTCTGTGAGAAGCATTGGATTGGGCCAAAATCGTCTAGATGGATGATGTCAGAAAAGGAGGAACAGCTGTAGTAGGGAGCCTGCCTGTTGCATGAAATCGAAGTAAAAAATATTTTTTGGTGTTTTTTTTTTTTTTACCAGGCAGGTGGCCAGGGAGGGGGGCTGGTAATTTTATTATAATGAACAATAACATTGTATAATATATTTATTTTCAAACAGGTAAGAAGAGGGGGTAGCAACTTTATATATTTCTTGAGGTAGAGATGTTTCCAGAAGTAGTAGAATATGCGGAGACAGAAAATATAGCAAAATATAGTGTAGTGTATCCAATGACAATTAAAAATAAGAAAAAAAGGAATTGCAATTTAAAGTTTGTAGAGCTAGGATACCGTATATACTCGAGTATAACATGAGTTTTTCAGCACATTTTTTGTGCTGAAAAAACCCCACTCGTCTTATACTCGAGTCACTGTCTGTATTATGGCAACTTACATTGCCATAATACAGACCAGGACCGCCGGGCTCATTACAAGCCCGGCGGTCCTGTTGGCGGCAGGCAGCGAGCTGTTACTTACCTTTCCTGCAGCGCCTGTCAGCTCCCTTCTCTCTCCTCCGGTCCGGTCAGCTCCCCTGTCAGCTCCCACTGTAAGTCTTGCGAGAGCCGCGGTGTCAGAGCGTTGCCACGGGTTACCGTGGCAATGCTCCGCGCAGCACTCAGACCGCGAGACTTACAGTGGAGCTGACAGGAGAGCTGACCGGCACGAAGGAGAAGGGAGCTGACAGGAACTGCAGGAAAGGTAAGTTACAGATCTTTGCTAGCCCCCCTCCTACACAGCCCATCCACTGGACCACCAGGGAATGAGAGCCCCCCTCCCTGGCCAGCCAACAAGCAGGGAGGGGGGACAAAAAAAATATAAATAAATACAAATTTAAATAATAATAAAATAAAAATAAAATATTAATAATTTATAAAAAAAATAATATTAAAATAATAATAATTTAAATTTTTTTATAAAAATGCCCACCCCCCACCAAGGCTCTGCATCACACACATAAACACACTCTGCATCACACACACACACTGCATTCATACACACACACACTGCACTCATACACACACACACTGCATTCACACACACACTGCATTATATACACACACACACACTGCATTCATACACACACACTACATTCATACACACACTGCATTCATACACACACACACACTGCACTCATACACACACACACTGCATTCATACACACACACACACACCGCGTTCATACAAACACACTGCATTATATACACACACTGCATTCATTATACACACACACTGTAAATAAATATTCAATTAATATAATTTTTTGGGGATATCATTTTATTTAGAAATTTACCTGTTGCTGCTGCATTTCCCACCCTAGTCTTATACTCGAGTCAATAAGTTTTCCCAGTTTTTGGGGGGTTAAATTAGGGTTCTCAACTTATATTCAGGTCGAATTATATATATAATATATTATATTATCGAGTGTATACGGTAACTTTATCAAGTTGTGCCGGGCTGGTATAATCCCACCTAAGGATATGTGGTGTCTTCTTATCTTAAAGTTCCGTAGTGCAAAGAATCGTCAACTGGATAAAGTAGGCAAGGATGATATCAGCCCTGCCTTATGGGTTCAATGGCTTGTTGGTAAGTAGGTCATATATGCAAAACACAAAATAACATATATAGTGATCACTGATGCAAATATATGTTTCACAAAAAAATAGGTGAGGTACTCAAGTATGGAGCAAATTAGGGAATTGCTCACTACACAGCGCTCAGGTAGTATTTTCCCCACCAAAGGAATATGTGGTCCCAGGCTCCGCAAACAATCAAGGTGAAGTCCACTATAGTTTAAAATATCAACTACTTTCCAAGATTTTCTATTTTATAAAACAATAAAAACAATCTAAAATAGCAAGATACAGTTAAAGCGGTTTTTGGTTTTTTTTAAAACTATTTGCCTCTAGCTGCTAGCATTAGAAACACCTGGAGCTTGATCCCAAAGGAAAACTTGAGGATCTCTCTCTTCAATAACAGAGGGGTAGAGGTATGTCAAGACATATCCCTGCCTTTCCTCGGTATGTCTTGTCCTCTAAAACCATGCACAGTGTGCTGCTGATGCATTCTGGGATCTCATTAAAAGCATAGTCAGAAACAAGCAGCAATGCATTTATTGCGCTCCCGTCACACTACCTAACAAATAGAGGGGTGACCAGCAAAGTTCTGTCTTCAGCACCCCTTCTAACAGTCACCTTGGTACCCACTCCCTACAAGTGGCCTGGCAGTATACTACACTACTGATGTATTTTTTTTTAATGTGCGGCTGCGGATGGAATTTTCTGATTTCAAATTAAAAAGCAAAAAGCAAAACACTAATATCCACCTGCCCCCTCCACCAACTGTGTACATTCAGGGCTTCAGCCCCCCAACCCCAAACCCTCCCCCTACAATGTCGATATCTAAAAGCGTCATCATATTTTAGCCAATACGTCAGGGGTGGACCTGACTAACACTGAGAAATGGAGACTCACAACTCACCCTTACACCCTCTTAAATTTTACAAGCAATTGCTATAATATAACAAAATAGACAGAGCAATGACTTCCAGATTACTGAGATAATTAGGCACCAAAAATCATTCCAAATCTTTGAGCTATCTGCAATCTTGATTAAAGCAAATAAAGACATTCTTGTATAATAAGTCCCAAAAGACACACAGGATATTTACGTAAATAGTTCTGTATGTGAATATATATTTTAAATAGCATTACATTTATATTATCTATAAAAAAAAAAAAATCTACCGATAAAAAATATTCAAGATAAACTAACCTTTCAAAACTTAAAAACATATTCCAATACTCTTAAACTGAATGTATACTCAATTTATACACACATTTCAGATTAATATAAACTAAAGTGGCAATATTACAGCAGTTATTTTTCAATTGAACACTCTTTTTAAAGCAACACTATATTCAGTAGGATCGTACCACGAGGAAACAATGATAAACATTTGTAGTAAAATTAGACATATATTAAAATAGACACTGCCTTTGCACTAGAAATCACTCTGTATAATGGAGTGTGTAATTTATATCCACACACAAATGAAGATGTAATAAACATATAATTTGTTTATAGATAGGAATTTTAGTCTGTTCAAATAAACAAGTTAATTATTAAATAATAATAAATTAACCCAAAAAGATTTCTGACTTGATCGACTTTGAGAATTATACAACTTTGCTACTTTGATTTATATTTTACAAGTCTGCAGTCAGTCAACTCACACAACTGGTCTGTCTGTCGATTGATAAACATATACTATATTCACATAAACACACACATAACATATTCGTCTTCTCGAATAGCAAACGACAATTTTTTAATAACATTTTTGCTACATCTGCAGAGTACTTTCTATAATGCTGTATTTAACTGTTTAAACTAAATCTAGAAAACTATCCATGGATATGAAACACTAACATTCTTTTTTGCTAATTCATTAATGTTACATTTATAAAAAGTGATAAAGCATATAAATAATAAGAACTAATGTATATAATAAAATCAGAACTTAATGTACAAAAAGTGGGACAAAATTGCAACTGTGATGTCTAATGTATATATAGTCATGCTAATGATTGACATTCCCATATAACTGATTACTGTTGTGAGCCCACTCAGGTGCCCAGTCTTACCCAGAAAGAGACTTTATGTGTGTGTTTCCAGTTGTCCTGCAGAGCTGTGTTGTTAGTGCTGAGCTGTGCGGGGGTCTTTTATAGAAGCACAGCCTGCAATTCGGGAGTGGCAGACAGCCACAGGACACTGGAAACCAGATCTGACAAAACTTGTAAAAGCACAGTATGAGGTGGACTCTCAGACAGGCATAGAGCATCCCTCTATTCTATGACACAAAACTGGGCAAAGGGACATAATGTATTCCTCCAACTGTTCAAAGAAAAGCAGTTCCTTTTACGTAAAGCACTGGGACATAACATTGTTACTGAGATTTAGAAACCAAACAGTCGTATTTCATCTGTCGGTGTAATTGTGTCATTATGTGTTAAAAAAGGAAAGTTACATTATATAATAAATCTATTGCATGTGCTCTGAAAATCAAAGTAATACTTTTATAAGTGACGCGGAACAGCCTCTTCCTTTCTACTTTTCTTCCTCAGAGATACAGCATCTGTACTTGAGAAGCAATGCACTGAAAAAAGATTTCTTAAAGAGAGTACGTAGTATACCTCAATGTCCCCTCCAGAGCATTGTTTATCAACAAACCACATACAACTGTACTGGCCCCACCATAACAACCATAACTCACGTCCATGTCAGTAAATCAATATCACTTATATCTGCCAATATGCTAAAGAATCCCGCAAACCAATGTGGCATTCTCCATGAAATAAAAAACTGGTATTGAATCATGCTTGTCACCAATGACTGGGCCATGCCTGCCTTTAATTTATATGGGGGCAAGCTCAGTGCTAGATTTACATGTGAGGTGCACATAGGCACACACTTTTAAGGTGCCCAATGCTCCCAATCCCTCAAAATAAGGCAGTTAATGTAAGTATAGTGAATTTATTAACTGGACATCGAAGGCCTAAAACATATTCATATTTGACAACTGCATATGTATACATGTATGTATCTGCATATTTCTTTTTGTAGTGCATTGTGTTTGTCTATGTGTATAGTAAGTGTATGCAGCTATGTAAACGTGTGCAGGGTTAAAGACAATGTTAGAAGTGGTTAGGGTACAGGCATTTCCTGTGTGAGAGTTTATAGAGCATTTCCTGTGTGAGAGTTTATAGGAAGTAATTCATCTTCCTGTCCAGCCTCATTCATCTTCCTGTCCAGCCTCACAGACAGACACTGGAGGAGCTGGAAAACCCTCTAAAACCATTCCTTCACTAAAGGCACTACTTAAGATTTCTGGTACTTATCTCCCCTTACCAGCATTATAAGTGCTGAAAATAGGTGCCCCCTAGAGGACAGGTGCCTTCTCAGCCAAATGGTAAATCTGGCCCTGGACAGACTCCAACCTCTTCCAGCATTTAATACTCCCAACTCATTGATAAGCAACACCACCCATTCTAATGCCATTGCGAGTGTCTCTTGGATCTGCATAAAAAAAAACAAAAAAACTCTTCCCAATAACTGCAAACTTTGACAAGGGGCAAATAATGTTGGCTAGACGACTGGGTGAGAGCATTTCCAAAATGACAAGTCTGTGGCTGTTCCTGGTATGCAGTAGTAAGCATCTACCAACAGTGGTGCAAGTAAGAACAGTGTTAGGGTCGGGAGTGCCCAAGACTCATAGATGCACGTGGGGAGAAAAGACTAGCCTATCTGTTTCGATCACACAGAAGAGCTACTGTAGCTCAAATTGCTAAAAAAAAATGTAATGCTGGCCATGATAGAAAGGTATAAGAACACAATACTGAATATCGGGCTGTGTAGTTGTAGACCCGTTTGATTGTGTACGATGTCCCCTCTCCACCGCCGAAAGGTTCTTCAATGGGGTCGTAAGAAGGTTTCCTGTTCTAATGAATCACATTTTATTTTAGATAAGGTGGATAGCCAGGTGCGTGTGCATTGCTTACTTGAGGAAGATATGGCAACCAGGGCCGGACTGGGAATTAAAAGCAGCCCTGGAAAAAAAATATTTACCAGCCCCATAATGCATCGCGCCAGCGTAGTGTGCAGATACAGAGTTAGAACAGATAACAGGGGGCCGGCCGCGTTCCTGGCTGGAGCCGCCGGGCCGGTTGGCAGCTTCCCCGGTCCGGCGGCCCTGCTCCTCTCACTGCTGTGGCTGATGGAGGAGGAGCATGTCTCTGTACCACATGCTCCTCCTCCATCAGCCACAGCAGTGAGCAGGGGAGGGCTGGCAGCCTTAGGCCTGGGAGGCAAAAGCAGTCAAGTGGCCCATTGCACCACCAAATCAGTTCACCATCCATGCCCACCTTTTCCTGGTTTTATAACGGATATTGATGTTATGCTAATCAGTAGCTCTTTGCCATACCCGCTCCTTCACGGCTCCAGGCACTGCTTGTTGTGAGTGTGAGCCACTGTAAATTAGGGGCAGAGGGCACTTGCACTGCGGTAAAGATGGGGCTGGGCAGGAGGAGAGTGCAGTGCAATCAGTGCACTCCCCTCCTGTGGGTCACCAGTAGACTGGTGCACCTGCCCAGGATCAGAGCCGGTGCAAGGATTTTTGCCGCCCTAGACAAAATAAAAATTTGCTGCCCCCCCATGTGACATCACAATGCCCCACCCATATGAACTAACGCCAGTGCTGCACACAGTGTGTGTTTACATTAAAAAGGCTGCAGGGACCAGCTATAGACACCAGAACCACTTCATTAAGCTATAGTGTCCCTTTAATGTGAGATACATTATAGATTAGTGTCACTAATAATATACTAGATTGCCTACTTACAAGCAGATGAGGATGATGATGGGCTGCAGTTTGGCTCCACTGGTCTGGTGTAGAACAGGATCTCTGGAGGCTGTTTGCAACTGTGGTCACAAAATTCAATGTTCTGGGAAAATTGGAAGCAGCTCCATTTTTTGGGGCCCCTTACACAGCTCAAGTTCTGGGCCCCAGGGCCTGACGGTGAGTATGCCCATAAGGCCCACTCATAAGTTCCACCCACCCATGAGTTCGCTCACAGGGAGTGGAGTGTGTAGGGGATGTGTTATGTGTTATTGTAGAGGATCTAATATGTGTGCTTATGGTATGTAGTGTATAGGGTTACCAATTTGTGCAGGTGATGTAGTATGTTTATGTGTAGTGGAAGCAGTGTGTATTTGTGTATAAGGGATGTATTATGTGTTTCTGGTTGTGTGTAAGGGATGCATTGTGTGAATCTGTGTTTGTATGCATAAGGGATGCAAGGTGTGTGTCTGTATGTGTGTGCATTGAGTGTAAGAGATGCATTGTGTTTCTGTGTGTATGTAGAAAAGAAGTGTGTGTGTTTGCATGTGTGTGTACGGGTTTGCATTGTCTGTTTCTGTGTATGTGTGCAAAGGATGCATTGTCTTTGTGTGTAAGGGTTGCATTGTGTGTGTGTAATGGATGCATTGTGTGTTTATCTGTGTGTAAGGGAAGCATGTTGTGTTTCTGTGTATGTATAGGGATGCATTGTGTGTGTGTGTGTGTGTGTGTGCACGCGCGTAGTGGGAAAGAGCTCCCTGTCTTGGCCCCTGTCCTATAGAGCTGCCCCTTCTGTCCCGTAGAGCTCTCCCCTGCACCTTAGTGGTCTCTCCTCTCCCCCACCCTCCCCTAGCGGTCTCTTCTCACACTCACCCACCCTCCCTGTGCTCTTCTCATCCCCCCCCTCCACCCTCACTGTGTTCTTCTCACTCCTCCCTCTATGTGTTCTCACACCCCCTGTGTTCGTCTTACCCCCCTCCTCCCTGTGTTCTTCATACTTCCCCCCTTGGTCGTCTTACTCCCCCACCTGTTCTTCTTACCCCCCCCTCTTCTTCTTACTCCCCCTTCTTCTTCTTACCCCTTTTTCTTCTTCCCCTCTTCTTCTTACTCCCCCTACTCCCCCACTCTTCTTCTTCTTACTCCCCACTCTTCTTCTTCTTACTCCCCACTCTTTTTCTTACTCACCCCTTCTTCTTCTTCTTACCCCCCTCTTTCTTATCTCCCCTCCTTCTTACTCCGCCCTCCCCTCCTTCTTACTCCGCCCTCCCCCTTTTCTTATTCCCCCTCTCCCTCTTCTTACTCCCCCCTCTTTTTCTTACTCCCTCCTCTTCTTCTTATTACTCCCCCATCTTTTTGTTACTCACCCCTTCTTCTTCTTACCCCCTCTTTTTCTTATCTCCCCTCTTCTTATTCCCCTCCCTCCCCTCTTCTTATTCCCCCATCCCCTCTTTTTATTCCCCTCCTCCCCTCTTCTTATTCCCCATCCCTCTTTATTCCCCCATCCCCTCTTTTTCTTCCCCTCCTCCCTCTTTTTATTCCCTCCTCCCTCTTCTTATTCCCCTATCCCCTTTTTATTCCCCACTCCTCTTCTTATCCCCCCTCCCCTCTTCTTATTCCCCCCTTTTTATTCCCCCCCTCTTGCTTATCCCCCCCTCTTCTTATTACCCCCTCCCTCTTCTTATTCCCCCCCTCTTCTTATTTCCCCTCCCTCTTCTTACCCTCCTCTTCTTATTCCCCCCTTCTTCTTATTACCCCTCTTCTTATTCCCCCCCTCCTCCCTCTCTTCTTGCCCCCTCCTGTGGCGTGGCCGGAGCTGCACTCCGGTCCAGCGGTGGCGGCCCGGGTGATAGGGTGCACACTGGTGTGCACTTCACATATCGATCGGCAGTTGAAACAGAAACTCCTGTTCAGCGGGTTTTCTGTTTCCTGTAACGGCGGACTGACAGGAAGTGCACACTCAGTGTGCACCTTCCTATCACTCCGGCCGGCCAGCCACCGCGGACCGGAGTGCAGCTCGGCCACGCTACATGGGAGAAGCTGCAGCCGCCTGAGGCTCTTAACAGAGCGCTCAGGCGGCTGCAGCATTTAAAGGGCTGGCCCGCCCCTGGCAGTGAGAGGAGCAGGGCTGCCGGATCGGGGAAGCTGCCACCCGGCCCGGCGGCTCCAGCCAGGAATGCGGCCAGCCCCCAGGTGCCGCGGCCCACCGGGAAATTTCCCGGTATCCCGGTGGGCCAGTCCGGCCCTGGTCCTGGGTCCACAAAAGTTTAATAAAGCAGGGGGCAGAGCACATTCTGAGGTACAGTAAGGCCCTCTAACATCTTTAACCCCTTAAGGACCAAACTTCTGGAATAAAAAGCAATCATGACATGTCACACATGTCATGTGTCCTTAAGGGGTTAAAGGACCACAATAGTCACCCAGACCACTTCAGCTCAAATAAGTGGTCTGGGTGCCAGGTCCCTCAGGTTTTAACCCTTCAGATGTAAACATAGTTTCAGAGAAACTGCTATGTTTACATTGCAGGGTTAATCTAGCCTCTAGTGGCTGTCTTCCTGACAGCCGCTAGATGCGCTTCTGCGACACTGGCTGCGAAAATCGCATTCAGCGTGCCGAACGTCCATAGGAAAGCATTGAGAAATGTTTTAATATGGGCGGTTTGAATGCGCGTGCGGCTCTGGCCGTGCGTGCGCATTCGGCTCCACTCGGGATCTGACTTCGGGAGGGGAGGAGAGGTCACCAGCGCCGAGGGAGCCCAGCGCTGGATTAAGGTAAGTGGCTGAAGGGGTTTTAACCCTTTCAGCCCAGCGGGAGGAGAGCCCTGAGGGTTGGGGGGACCTAGCGATTGTATAGTGTCAGGAAAACGGGTTTGTTTTCCTGGCACTATAGTGATCCTTTAAACCTCACCACCCACGACTGCTCACAACCAATTTATTACAAATGAGCAACAGAAACATAAACAATAAAATTAGTACAGACAAAAAAATAAATAAACATTCATGTAAACAACCAAAGCCAAGCTCCACATTTGCTTACTGGTTTGTTTGAATAACTAAGGAGGACAATTGCTTTTTCACATATAACTGGCTGGTGTTATATAACTTTTTTTCTTTAAATAAATAAAAATGCAAGTTCACAAACAAATTTAGCATTTTCTTTATTCTTTATTTTAGGACTCTATGTCTTATATTTCATTTTATTTGAAAATCTGAAACCATTCAGCTTGACAAATGTGCACAGAAGACAATTAAGATTTCATATGTTGAATTAAATAAAAGATTTATTTAAAATATACTCATATTTAAAGGGATACTATAGTCACCAGAACAACTACAGCTTAACGTAGTTGTACTGGTGAGTATGGTCAGTCCCTGCAGGCTTTTTGCTGTAAACACTCCCTTTTCAGACAAAGGGCAGTGCTTGTATTTAAGCCTAGGGACACCTCCAGTGGCCCCTCCTCAGATGGCTACTAGTGGTGCTTCTTGGATCAGTGCTGCACAGTTTGCATCACTGACATTCACCGTCTCCATGCAGAAATTTCCCCATAGTGATGCAATCATCCAATGCATCGATATGAGGAGATACTGATTGGCCAGGTTGGCGTTTGGCTCTGCCCTACAGCCAACCCCAAAATTATTATAAAATTACAGCTACAACCAGCACCAAAAGGGTTTTAGAATAGAATAGAAGTAAAAAAAATGTCAGCTTGATCAGAGAGCCCTCTGAGTACACTAATCAATGATATAGTACCATTCAGCACAGACACTGGACAGTACAATGATCAGACAGCAGACAAGGGTTTTTTAAAAGTTTTTTTAAAAACTGATGTAGTTAACAAAAAGGGGCAAAAATAATAAAAATAACAATACAAACTTACTAATCAGCACTGAAAGAATTCAAAAACACAATAGATTCCCCTACACTTTTCTATCAATGATCTCTCTGCCTCTCATTCCTCAAAGTGAAGAAAGAGAGTGACAGAGAACTGTGGGGTTGCCAGGCAGTAAAAAAACAAAAACTGCTATACTGGAAATAGGAAGGTTGGACAATATTATAAGATTATGACTTCTTATTTCCATTTTCAAGAGCTACCTGCCATATTCAAACACACAGTGTAACAGTCTGACTTATCTCACTGTGATGTCAGCCAGTGACATCATCATTGTTACCTATACAAACCCCATGCATGTTACCATCTGCAGATAGGCTTGTAATAGTGAACTGTGCTTGTCACTGTACCTAACTGAAGTGAACATTTATTGATTTATTGACTGATTATGGACGGTAGGCAAAGAAGGAGAAGCCAAAGAGTCCGTAATAGACAGGAAGAAGCAGCTTCCCAAACAAGTAAGTGATAGCTCCACATTTGCACTATTCTTACACAAACCGTGTATCTTTTGTACATCCTTCTCCAGCATGCTGACAACAAACATTATTTATGCACAGTTTTAATA